TGGGTTCGATTCCCAGATGCATAGGCACCGACACACACTGTTGAGCGATGCCATACTATAATGAAAAGGCTATTCAGTGCTTATAAGCTTCAACGGTAGTCTAAAATTAATTCATGATTAAAACTATGAAAATTATAAATGTCACAAACTTAATTGAAAATGTTTATGAAAATCAATAAATTATAGTCAATTTCTCAGTGTTTACATCTGTCATAAACGATTACGTTGGTTAACTGGTTAATCAATAGTAGTTAAATTGTTTTCATGTAGAATAATACATTATAGTATGATTGAATGGGTGGTAGTAAGTAACATTTATGACAAAATATAAAGGTGATTGAATGGTTGGCAAGTTTTTCATTAGTTAACTGATAATAGTCCTCAGCGGTATATCATTATAAATATATATATATATATATATATATATATATATAATATATATATATATATATATATATAATTACTTACTTATGCCTGTTACCCACAGTGGAGCATAGGCCTCCACCCAACTCCGTCCTCGGCTTCCATTTCTAGTTCTTTCCGGTTTTTCTTCATTCTTCTCATGTATTTCTCTACTTCTCAGAGTAATGTGTTCTTTGGCCTTCCTCTTCTTACTTTGACCTTGAGGGTTCCATGTGAAGGCTTGTCTTGTGACGCAGTTAGGTGCTTATCGTAATGTGTGTGTGTCCTATCTACTACCACCGCTTCTTCCTGATTTCCTCCTCTACTGGAATCTGGTTTGTTCTCTTCCACAGTACGTTGTTGCTAATAGTGTCTGGCCAACGAATCCGAAGTACTTTGCGAAGACAGCTATTCATAAGTACTTGTATCTTCTGGATGATGGCTTTCGTAGTTCTCCACGTTTTCGCTTCATATGGTAGAACTGTCTTTACGTTTGTATTGAAAATTCAGATTTTGCTGTTGATTGATATTTGTTTGGAGTTCCAGATATTTTTCAGTTGTAGAAATGCAGCCCTTGCTTTGCCAATCCGCGCCCTCACATCTGCATCGGATCCACCTTGATTGTCGATAATGCTGCCCAGATATGTAAAGATATCAACGTCCTCCAAAGAATCTCCATCAAGCGTGGTTTGGTTGACGCGTGTTGTGTTGTATCGTAGAATCTTACTTTTCCCTTCTTACTTCCCTTTGACCTTGAGGGTTCCACGTGAGGGCTTGTCTTGTGACGAAGTTGGGTACTTTTCACAGTTTGTGTCCTATCCACTTTAACCGCTTCTTCCTGATTTCCTCCTCCACTGGAATCTGGTTTGTTCTCTCCCAAAATATATATATATATATATATCAGATATACTATAAACACACTATTATTTTACGATATCTTCCATATGACTTTCAAGGAGATCTTTTTGATAGTTTAAACTAACCAGTCAAAAACACTTTTCAATTGTAAAACTGTCAATAAATAGACAGAATAGAAATTTAATGTAGGACGATAACACATGTAACTACCATTTGTTGGTGACTTCATTGAAAGCTACGATATGCTTTATGTCAGTAATTTTTATGAATAGTCAATTTATATACAGTACTTTAAATGTATGCGGCCTCGTGACTTCTGACGAAACTAGGCTCTCATTATGAGACGTCATAACTCTTCCAACTAATGACTTTCCAACTTCCAGGGTTAGGGTTTAAATGATTTGGATTATTTGTTGTGGTAAGCGTATTTTTTTAGCGAGTTAGTTTCGCACAAGATGGGGTTGCTAACTCCATGATCAATCCTCTTCCCTTACCCTGTCTTGAGACCGGCATTAACCACAGAAGGAATTCAAGCGGAGCTGTTCGATTTCACTGTTCGATTTCAGTTTTTATTAATATTGAATTTGATAAGAATTATCCAAAGAATTTTCATAAAACGAATCGCTTTATGAAGATGTACAAATAGGCATCCATATTTTCATTTAGACTCTATTACGTCATTTTTCCCTAAAGTAATAGGCATTAACGTTCAATCAAGAGTCAAATAGCTATAAATTTCAGGGCAACTACACAAATTTGTATGCAGAGATATAACCTTATTTGATAAAAAAAACTATTGAAAATCAAAATTATCTAAGACGAATTAGAGCTTATTTGCATTATGTGGTTGTAGAGATTATGTTGAGTTACTTATTGAAATTATGAATCGATCAAAGTTAGACAGACCACCATTAGAAATATGGAAGCACTGGACGGCCGTTTCGTCCTGGTATGGGACTTGTCAGCTGTGTGCATCCATAACTCCTGCAACTCACAGGATTCGGACCCAGGACCTTAACCTCTGGACCTGTGAGCGGGCAATCCAATGATGTAAGTAAGTAAGTAGGTAAGTAAGTAAGTAAGTAAGTAAGTAAGAGTTAGTCAGTAGTGAGCTTATTTGATATATAATTGAAGAGAAACATAGAATATGAACAGTTCTATTCAGTAGTGTCATTTTGGCTATATATATATCTAATGTTACATTAATAAATCAACCTTTCATTTATGCGATCACAAAAATTAGTAGTGAAAATATAGACTAGAACAAAATCAATGAATGATTTATAAGCTGTTAATGAAAAAAATTCTTGTAGTCGTTTTATTTGATACAACGTTCAAGGTTTAAATAAACTTTTGAATAATGTGTACTGCTGTTTATTTTGTGTTTTTACTTGATAATTGAACAGTGATATAGTATGTACATGATTTAGATATTGTTTAGTTCCGTTTGTTCAGGTTATTTCTCTGATTTTTTTGATATACAATGGTTACATAACTGATCTTAATTCTGATTTTGTTTTTCATACAACTGACTCTAAATGGTTAGGTAGTACTTTAGTTAATATGCATTTGATGATATAATTTGGAATGATTAATCTTTTGGGTGAGATTTGATTGGACTACAACACCCTAACAGTGTTTTAATTTGATTAGGTCTTACAAAAATTATTCACTGAGAGTTCATTTAGAAATCTTTTTCTTTAATTTCTGAGTAAATTACATTGTATTTTAAACTTTTTATTGTTTGAAACTATTACGAGTTCATTTTAGTCGGTAAACGAGAGCGAAGACAAATGATGTAGTGACGCGATAGGCTATTCTAATCTGTTTGTCTCCGGCCGGGATAACTGTATCAAGAAGTCTTAATATGGCGTAGGAAGTGTATTCTATAAGCACCAATAAAATGTGAGGTTCAAAAGCGCACAAATCGAGTTTATTTATACATGATAGAAATGTCCTTGAGAGAGCCACAAAAAGAGCGTACTAAAATAATACATCAACCAATAACAGTCAAGGATTTTCCTTATGGGAAATGCAATCTCAAGGTCAACTGAGTAGCCCATGCGCGGAAATACAAAAAATCCAAAATTAGGATTTTTTTCATATGAGTTTTGGGGATCTAACTTCCCCAACACTTGTATGTACGTGAATTACCAAAATTGGCGGGTCTAAATCACCTTATCCAAACTCATTTACTTATATTTTATGTACTGACTTGAGAACTAGAAATTCTAAGTTCGATACTTTGGAAGGTAGTGCGTACATTCAGCTAAGTCCTAATCAAGGACAAAATAAATATTCATTGTTTAATAAATTGTGAGATTATCTAGCTAAACTCAATTTGAGATGGATATAATCTATCAAAAACTATTATTTAAGGGTGAGTAACTGAATATTTAATCCATACTGGTGGTCATCGAACTCATTCAACTGATTAAAATAACAAAGAATTCAAGATAATAACTGTGTTTCATCTGTACTACACAAATAGATTTAGTACTGAAAGCTTAATTATAAACTAGTTGAATTTGAGAGTATTGACAATGGAATTCCCAGTCGATCATTGCTAGATTATCACTTGAAACTCGAAAGCACTGGACGGCCATTTCGTCCTTGTATGGGACCCATCAGCCGTAAGCATCCACGACTCTAACAATGACTGATTCATTATTTCAGTGTGAAAAAAAACATTTATCTCCATGACTCCAATTGACAAAATCATAAAATGTGTTCATTAGTGACTGAATTCGTGAGGAAATTCCCCGAGTTCCAGTGAGAAAACGTGACCAGCGGATTTCAACCCTGTCGGGCGTAGGCAGCAACTACCAAAGACAATTGGGTGAGGTCGCGCAAAATCCGTAGATCAATCAGAGTAAGACATCTTATATCAATCCTCATCACTCCCTACTTAATTAGTGAAAATGAATCACCATATGAAAAATTTCGTAAGTCAACCAGTTTCGTCCTTTTACTTCCCTTCACTTCGAATTAGATACAGATTCTCTAATTGACCTGCTTGGCAAGTTAGGACTTCCTCCTCCTGTCACTTTATATCGAACGGCTTTTCATAATAGTTATGCCTGACCAACATTTCATAACAGTAGCTACAATTGAAATAAACTTCCTCTCCGTTTATGATTTATCGATAAGTGTAATTTGGTTCCTTTCTTACTGATATGCATCTCCACGGTCGGCGAATGGTATCGGCTAAAAATATTGACTTGATTTACACATTGCTTGATACACGTCCTCTGTAATATGATCTAAACATTACTTACTTACGCCTGTTACCCCCAGAGGAGCGTAGGACGCCAACCAGTATTCTCCAACCTACTCTATAGTGGACCTCCCTTTATAGCTCTGTCCAATTTTTGTTCATTCTCCCCATGTCTTTCTCTATTTCTCAGCGTAATGTGTTTCTTGGGCTTCGTCTTTTTGTTGTAAGGGGCATATCTTATGACTCATTTATGTGCTTTCCTCAATGTGTATCGTATCCACTCCCTGAGCTTTTTCCTGATTTCCTTCTCCACTGGAAACTGGTTTGTTCTCTCATACAGTACGTTGTTGCTGATGGTGTCTACCCAACGAATCCGAAGTATTTTGTGTAGACAATTGTTAATAAACATACTAAGTCAATAATTATCTGATGGTTCATTTACTAACGATCAATATTCTTACTTATTTTGTGCATTGCTTTTAGTTATTTTATCCAAAAACATTTGTTTTTACAATACCCACAGATAGTTGTACCTCCAGGATATCGTACACGTGCTGAACTAGTGATTACAGAAGATGAATACAATGGGAAATTTCAAGTTGAAACAATATTTGAAGGTTCAATCTCTGTGAAATTACGTGATAAAAAAGATGGATCTATTGTTTCAGTTGTAGTAATCAATGATTTGAATAAATTGTTAACGCCTAAAAATGGATTTCATCCAATACCCAATACTACTAGTGCTGTTAGTTTTGTAAATGAAGGTTCATGTCATTGTCATTATGGTATTGGACAACGTGTGGAATTACAAGAGGAAAAAATTTAAATTAACTTTATACTACTATTAATCAATATCAGTAATATTTTAAGAAAAAACAACATTTCTTTTTTAAATATATGCAACTTTAAATATTTTTTTTCTTGCTTAATATTTCTTCCTCGAATAGTTACGGGAAAATTTAAGATTTGTTAGTGAATTGTACTAAACGCTTTTGAGATGGTTAAGAAAATTTGTAGCTTAGGTGGATAAAAAAACGAGGAAACGCATATTATGACTATTTTCCAATAGAACAGCTATCCATACAACTGCATCAAAAGACATCAAGCGAAATCATCAATAGAAGCGAAATCAAGCACAGGAACCAATAAACGGATCATCCTACCACACATAAAAGACATATTGGAGCATACAGCACGACTACTGAAACCATTCGTTTACGTGAATACCACTTAGCAGCCAAACGCCACGACAATTCTTCGCTTATATCAATACACACTGACCATTATGGACATACATTCGATTGGAACAATGTGAAAATACTGGATAGGAGGAGGATAAAGAACACTATAGAATTTTTAGAAGCTTGGCACTCAGACTAATCAGCAATCAACAAACACATCAACATTGACCCAATTTATCAACCAATCAGGAAAATCATAGGTGACATCGGATCAAGAAACAGATCAAAAGGGGGATACAGTCAAAATAAAGGTGCAAACAACGACAGATTTTAGGTCAACAGCAACCAATCAAGATCGAGGTTAACAGAACAAGCTACGCGTCAAACATGGAGAAATTCGAATACTTCACTTCAGCTATCTGAAGTTTGCGCTGATGATATTGTTCAGAAGAAGAACAATGACAGCTCTACAACCAAACCATTCAGCTCAGAGAACGAAACACCATCACATCTAAACGCTATTATATTACACAGTGATATAATGTGAAAATTTGATAGTGTCCCTGTAAGATGTGATTCGTGAAATATATGATAAGAAATTATAAACACGAATTCGGTTAACTGAACGTGGTTGGAGATAATGACAGTCATGAAAGTCTAGAATCATTTGATATTATAAGCGTAGTGAAGTCTAGCAGTGCAGAAATGGTCTGTTCAGTGGATACTTCAAGTCAGGAGCTGGAATTTATCAACAGTTCACTGACCGAAATCAGCGACCTTAGTGCGATCTTAAAGAAGTATAGGTATAATCTAAAAAAGAAGCCGGAGACTTCGACCGTTAGAAAGAAGCCCTTATTTATTAAACTACAATTCAACGGACATGTGGCCTGCGAAACTCTGCAGGACAGATTAACGAGAGTAATTAGTAGAACATTTGCATTGACCTTCTCAAGTCGACCAGCTATGTCTACCCAAACGAAGGATAAGTTACCTGAGTTGGCCTCCTCTTTGTGCATTAACAAATTCAGCTGCTTCTGTAGAGGTAGCTATATCGGGCGTACTACCAGGCAACTTAACCAACGAATGAGTGAACATTTCCAAGCATGGTTTACGAAGGGTCAGTCAAAAACAATACGCAGTTCTATCTTAGCACAACTGGTTGATAGTGGTCATATTGTAGATAAGTCTAGATCTTTTCGAGTGATCTATCGTATACCTCAATCATTTCCCAACGGAGTTGGATTCCATCTCCCATAACATAACAAAAGCCATAGGAATTCTAACATTTGGCAGAAACGTCTAACGTGTTAAGGAAAACTGCAGTACGATGACAGGATAGTTAAAACTTTCAATATACTTCAACTATACACCGAATTGTCAAACTGATGTGATAAGATAAAAGTGTGACACTAATTTCGGTCATGTTATGTTCACAATAAAAATATAAGTGAATTCATTTCGGAAAACAATGAGTACGTTTTAATAATCATTCATTCCCATCACCATATTCTTAATTAACAGAAGTGAATAATCCTTTGAACATCACCGGACAGTTTTTAATAGTTATAAATAGAACTATGGTTTTTGATGAACACTGACAGGTTTGAAAATCGAACAAAATGGTGGATTTCCAAGACTCTGTGCTACCATGATTTAAAACAATGCCAGCTAGTCAGTCAAACCGACACAATGTAGTAGAACCTGGTACATATGCACATCGGGGCTAAAGTCACCATACTTCATTAGCACAGAAAGATGAAATGGTCAGGGAAATACCAGAGAAATAGAAGTAGTAACAGGATTAGTAGTAAAATAGGTGATAAGGCTTCAAACAAACGATTCAGGCGCATATTAAACAGTGATTTAAGAAAATCTATGAAGATTTCAGAAGTTTAGAGTATTTTGTTAGGAAAAGAGTTGATGCAACTGGGCCATTTCAAACGATTTTGAACCATGTTACTCAAATTATTGTGCAGACTCCAACTAGGTAGTCTACACTTAATAACATAGCTCAGTCCAATGACTTCATGGACCAGAGTTTTGTTTTGTCCGACTCTAACTTCCCTACAGCCTACTAAAACACCAAACAATATCACCCATAGAGGTGTTTGGTGGTTGGTTAAACGTGAAACACGTCCCAGCCACTTTAACTAATGAAGATTGATTATTTCATCAACTGATTCGTAATTCTTTATAAGTGGATACTACTCGCTTTGTGGCTTGTAAGTAGTATGCAGCAGTGTCACCCAGAATTTACCACTGGAAAGAAGAGTGTTGCATCCAAACGTATGACTTAATGAAAGTCTTTGAAGATCAGAAGTTATATGGAAGAGGACAGGTAATATTCTGCTCGTATTGCAAATGGAACTCTGAAAATCAGATGTACATATTTTCTCAGGAAAACGTTTCCTTAATAAACGATAATTCCATCCTGTCTAGAAGTCTTCATTCATTACACTAATACCCTATTCCTTGCTCCAGGACTGGTTGCTTGATGGTCAGTGATAAAGTTGAATAAGAATGGAGGAAGTGGATAGCCCTGATGGACACCACTTAAAGTAATCCATTCTGATGACAGTTCGCCATAATCTCTCACTGGACCAGTGATGTTTGAGTACAGAGCCTGTATAGGGTTAATGTACTTCTTCAGTACAACTTTCAATGACAGACAATGCTACAGAACCTCATGATCGACGAAGTCAAATGCCGCCTTAAGGTCAAGAAATACTACTATTGTAGGACATCTGTGTGTATCTGTTCTATTACCTGACGAAGTGGGAGTATGTGGTCTGTACATTGACGTACATGTCTGAAATAAGCCTGGTTTTCCCGGGTCTGCTCTTCACAACCTGTAATTAGGCGTCGAAGCATTATCGAGCTTAACATGTTAGACACTACATTAGTGAAACTGATTCCTCTTTGATTGTTGCGAAATCACTTTTGTCCTTTCTTATGGATTGGAGCAATCAGTGATTGAGATCAGTCGGATGGGATTACGTTTAGTTCCCAGATTCTACCTAATATCTCAATCAATCTAACTGCTAAGACTGGTTGGTCCATCAGATCGTGCTGATCTTCTGCGCCCTAAGTTGCTTAAGGCCTTCTCAACTTTATTAAGGGTTTGAGGATTTAGATCAGTTTACCATTCAGATTGCTTGGAGATGACGGGTAACTGAAGGTCAGTTGAACTGTCCGCTAAAGTGTTCTTTCCACTGGTCAGATCTACTGGATTGAAAATAAATAATAGTTCTGACTAGAGAAGGACTTCAATATTCTGATGGGTTACGTAAACGCCAAAGTTGGAATGGACAACATGGACTGTGAGAAAGAAACGAAAACGGTGGGAGATTCTTAAGTTCATCTGCCTTCAACAAAATAGTCATAAGTGGCACCATATTCCCACACTAACGCATGCACAATGAAACACGGGTTTCATTGGATCACACTTCACAGAACCAAATCGACCATATCTGCATCAAAGAAAAGCTCAGAAGGACAATGGAGGAGGTAAGAACTAAAAGAAGAGCTGACATAGCTTCGGATCACTACATAGTAATGGTCAAGATAAAACTAAAACTCAAGATGCACTGGAAAATTAAGCATACAGAATTACGGAAGTTTAATACGGCCTTTCTTAGAGATACTAGAGATCTCCAAATCAATGTTAGTCCACCAACAATTGAAAAGATCAACATGGTCATCAGATAAATCAAGTGTAGTAAAGCAGTAAAACTAGACAGCATTCCAGCTGAAGTACTGAAAGTGGACTTAGCAGCAAGTGTAAGATTTGGAAGGATGAACAAATGTGGACAGACTGCGAAGGAAAACACTTCATCAGTATACCAAAGAAAGGCGGTTTCAGCAACTGTGAGAACTAAGGAGGGATCACTCTTCTCTCAATACTAGGGAAAGCCTTCAACAGAGTGAAGGACTTCATAGACCCCCAATTTCGAGATCAATAAGCTGGATTCCCTAAGGATAGAACGTGCACCGACCAAATTGCGACACTACAGATCATTCTGACACAATCTATTGAACAGAATTCACCACTCTACATCAATCTTGCTGACGACGAGAAAGCATTTGATAGCCTGGACAGGTTGACACTATGAAGGATTCATCGGAACTATGATGTGCCCGAGAAGATAGTCAACATCATAAGGATTAAACTGCAAAACCGTACATGGAGGGCCGCTTACAGACTCGTTCGAAGTGGAGGCCAGTGTTAGGCAGGGTTACATACTCTCACCCTTTCTCTTTCTCCTGGTGATCGACTGGACTGTTAAAACATCAACATCTGGAGGGAAGCACGGAATACAGTGGACCGGTAGGATGCAGCCTAACAACTAAGATTTCGCAGATGACTGATTTTTGTATCCCATACGCAACAGTAAATGCAAAAGACGGCCAGTGTGGTAGCAGGCTCCGCAGATGTAGGCCTCAACATACACAAGGGGGAAGCAAGGTCTTTCGACACAAAACAGCATGAGCCACACAAATCACACTTGATGGACATACCTTGGAGGACGTTAACACCTTTACATATCTGGGCAGCCTCATCGATGATCAGGATGGATCTGATACAGATATGAAGGCACGAACTGGCAGAGCAAGGGCAGCATTTATACAGTTGAACAACATCTGCGAATCAAAACGACACTAAAGTCAGAATTTTCAAAACAAACGTCAAAACAGTTTTACTGTATGGGGCGGAAACTTGGAAAACTACAAAAGCCATCATCCAGAGGATACAAGTATTTATTAACAGTTTTCTACGCAATACTTCGGATCCGTTGACCAGATGGCATCAGCGACAACCTACTGTGTGAGAGAACAAGCCAGATTTCAGTGAAGGAAGAATCGCTGGAAGTGGATAGGACACATATAGCGGAAAGCGCCGAACTGCATCACAAGATAAGCACTCACTTGGAATCCTTAGGGTCACCGGAAGGCCAAAGAACACATTATGCCGAGAAATGGAGACAGACATGAGAAGAATGAACAAAAATTGGAAAGGGAAGCCCAGGACAGAGTAGGTTGGAGAATGGTGGTTGGTGGCCTATGTTCCATTGGGGGGGGGGGGGGTAACAGGCGTAAGTAGTTAATGATACAATAAATAGACGAGCTGATTAAATTAATAACATATCAGTACTGCTACTCTTCCGTTTGTTTTCATGATAAGCTGGAGGCATAATCATATGAGTAATGGACATATTTTTAATTATAATATATTTATTCTCAAATAACTAAGTTACAAGAGTCACGCCAGTTTATAGGCTAGATCAAATTGTCACAAATGCTTTCACATTTACTGTAAAAGTTGTAGCAGTTAAATTAAGTATACGAGTCAGTTTCTGATATTATAATTACACCATGTCGCTGACAGAAACAGTATGATCCAGCCACATTTTCAATAGTAGAGTACAAATAAGGAAGGTGCACAATAGGTTCTTTTGGTGATTTGCTGAGATCAATAGTGAATTTGTTAGGAAAGGTCAATTGGAACGCGCTTTATACGAGCTGTGATCCAGACAGTCATGTACATAGGTTGCATGTTCCCTAGAGGCGCCAAGGATCTCCCACCGTCAATGGGGTTCTGAAAAGGGAGAAAAGACCCTTAATAACTTAAACAATATTTCACTGTAGCCTTCAGTATATTGTACAGTGATTAATGATTTTAAAGTTTTGTTAATCTCTATTGTTGATTTGTAGTGGTGAATTTTGTCAGTCTCTATTGACTTTTAGGTATTTTTGAAGATTTGGGTAGATATTTTCTGAATTTACGAGTTAACTGTATGTTGAATAGTAACTAGCTGTGAAATTTACGTCATGCATTTTGACCCATCAAGATTTCGTCAGTTGTATTTTATTGCTGACGTCCACACTGAAACCCGAGTACAACGCTAGTAGTTTTAAGCCATAAAACGTTATTAATGGCATTAGTGAATATAGTATTTCCCTATTGGTAAATTTTAGTGAGTGGTTATAGTAATACAACAGCCCACGTGTTTTATGCAGTGAGTTCATTGCTGAAGTGTCAGCACAAGTATCATCAATGAAATACTCACACATCCCATTGATGAATCCTAACGAGGAAGAAATATATGTCCTCTGACCCTCTCAATCCATGGTGAGCTGAATCGGTTGCAATTGAATACTGTATCAGATATCAGTATTCTGTCAGAAGAGACTTGACGAACTTTGTTTGGGTCAACCACGTATCAAACCATCGTCTCAGACAGTTGTCAGTGCCTGTGGGGGTCACCTTCATCCTCGTGGTAAACTTGATTGCTGTGTCTCGTTCAGAGGTACAACCTTCAATGGACACATGCTACATCACCAAGTCTCCTCTCAACCTTCTGAGGTTAGATTGGTTCGAAAAACTTAGTCTACTACATGCAGATTCTGCTAACTATCAATCACTGCAAATATAGTGATTTTTCTCTCTCTAAATTTACCTTAATGAATTATACTTCTTGAATTACATATTCGAAGTAAGTAAATGTGAAAAGATGAATAAAGTTGACATTTTTCCAGAAATAGACAGTTATCCATCTAAACTAATAGTCAAGATCTTTTCTATAAGCCAAAAAACTGTGAAAAACACTCAGGCGATTCTCAATTTCACAAGATTGATAACATGTTTCTTATTGGATATACACAAATTCACTTTAAATATCTTTATTAAAACAACCTCTGGAAGGTTACAACATCGTGGTTGGTTAATTGAATAAAACTTTTCAAATGACCAATAATATCAACGACATTATCTCCAAATGGATATTAAAATCAATACAAACAAATTGAAAATTGATAAATTTAAAATCATTGAAACCATTGAACGTGAACAGGTTTAAATTGATTTTTTTGTCCGACCGTAGCTGCTACCTTAACGTGGTGGTCGGGCTTGCCTATGGTGATGACCTAACCGAGCTATATGGGCTGGAACATATGTTCCTGAAGGTTCTACCATGCCAGTCAGACAGGTCGATTGGAGAACGATGAGACTAAAGGCAGCTACTCAAGGTTTGACGGCGAAGTCGTACTGCTGACTGACTGTAGAGGGGTGTGACAGAAATAAGGTGTTTCCCTCAGACAACCAGCATCTGCAGCGATGCTGCCTTCTCACAAGGAAGGAAGGGTTAGAAAAGGTCGACCCTAAAAATGTCACACCTCACCTTACCTCACGGATTTCCATCTCCGGTGGTAAGGGCTTTTAAGAGCGGAGCTATTACTCAAAAAACCTTTCATGAAAAGGCCGTGCGTGACCGGTCTCAAGTAGTTGTCCCTTGGGCTCTGCGTTCACGCTCTCAGGTCTCTAAGACCAACATTAATCTACCTTCTTTTTCAGGTCCCTCAAGAACACAACCTTCCACGATGTGGGCATCCGGGAAGTGACAACCGCCCTCATACCCATTACAGCACACGAAACCAAATTAGTCAAAATCAAATTCTTCTTACTTATTACTTATACATTAATTTACATCATTACTGTTACATTTGATACAAAAAAGAAAGTTTCTTTTTTAAAAAAAGAAAGAATAAAATAAAATCACAGATTATCGATTATCAATTACAAAAAGTGGAATCATGAATCAGTTGGTGTAATTTGTTGTTTAAATTAGTTTAGGCAGCAGCAGCATCATTATCATCCCGTTGATGATGATAGGTCACCAATGAATATTGAGTGAATATGTCATTGAACACATACAATGAAACTGAATATATCAGTCTCATTAAACAATGTTGTGTTGTTTGGCATTGTGTTGTATGATGATTGACATTGAAAGATGATTTCATTATTGTCGAATGTAGTACAAATTATCTTGATTTAAGGCCCACAATGAAGAGAGAGATCAATAATGGATTGATTATTTTATTCTTTGATTGAATGAGTAGTAATCATTCAAATACAGTGTTTTTTTATGGGAAAAGGTATAAATCATAGTAATAATCAAACTCCATTATTTATTCACATGAATTCTGTAAATAATAGAAGGAAAAAAATAAACATCTTTAGTCAAAACAAACGATGTTTACTTCATGAAAAAAAAAACAATACATTACCAACCAGTTGAAGAAATACACTTTTGTCTATAATACAACACCCTTCCTTTTTCTCCTGTTGATCGACTGGATTATGTAAACGTCGACATTTGAAGGGAAGCACGATATCAACTGGACAGTTAGGACGCAGTTGGACGATTTGGACTTCGCAGATGATCTGGTTCCTTCTATCGCACAGGCAACAACAAATGCAAGAGATGACCAGTGTATTGTAGCAGCCTCAGCAGCATTAGGTCTCAACATACATAAAGGAAAAAGCGAAATTCTCCAATGCAACACAACATGCACCAACCAAACCACTTTTGATGGAGATGCCTTGAAGGAGGTTAATACCTTTACATATCTAGGCAGCATCATCGACGAGAAAGATGGATCCGATGCAGATGTGAGCGCACGGATTGGCAAAGCAAGGGCTGCATTTCTACAGTTGAAAAATATCTGGAACTCCAAACAACTTTCAACCAAAACCAAAATCAGGATTTTCAATACAAATGCCAAGACAGTTCTACTGTATGGAGCGGAAACTTGGAGAACTACGAAAGGAATCATTCAGAAGATACAAGTGTTGTCTACGCAAAATACTTCGGATCCGTTGGCCAGACACCATCAGCAACAACGTACTGTGGGAGAGAACAAACCAGATTCTAGTGGAGGAGGAAATCAGGAAGAAGACGTGGAAGTGGATAGGACACACACTGCGAAAATCACCAAACTGCGTCACGAGACAAGCCTTTGCATGGAACCCTCAAGGCAAACGGAAAAGAGGAAGGTCAAGGAACACATTACGCCGAGAAATAGAGAAAAAATATAAGAGGAATGACCAAACATTGAACAGAACTGGAAAAGGAAGCCCAGGGCAGAGTTGGTTGGAGAAAAATGGTGTGCGGCCTACGCTCGATTGGGTGTAACAGGCGTAAGTAAGTAAGTAAGTAAGTAAATACAATGAGTTTATGTATGTATGTATGTATGTATGTATGTATGTATGTATGAACACATTGATTGTTTGATTCTCCAGTTTAAGATTTGAAGTTCACACACAGAGTCTTTGTATCATTCATTGATCATATTTTGGGTATAGGTAGTTTCAAACATGACTGCAATCGTTACGATACAAATAACTGTTGATCGGTTTTCAATGAAAGAAAGTCTATACTTTTCAAAAAAAAAACCCTTCAACATAAATTAATTGTCTTTAAATATGAATAACCTTCGATATAAATTAGTTTCATCGAAGATTCCATTGCTGAAACGAATCTCAACGGACTTAAAACATCACTTTCGTTTAGTTTTGCTATAGTCTGTCAGTTACAACGTAGAACTTCGTACGTACGTACATAAGTTCATGTTGCCATACTACATTAACACCTGGATGCAACTGTTACTGCAAAACCAATTGTAGTAGAGATAGTAGAAGTACTAGCAGCAATCGGAGAGATTAAAGTTCGAAGATATTATTCAAAAAGTAGAATCTAGTGAAATAAACTTAAAAAATAAAGATAAAAGCTAATGAGGAATTCAGAATGTGAGGATTTGAGAGAACACAAAGTGTGGATGCATCTGCTCCATGACAAACGATTTTGAGCCATGTGCATTCAAGGTCTATAACCATCGGTACTATCATCTCGCCGACCCAACCAAGTAGTCGGCACCTACCAACATGATTCATTCCACTTGTCAGTGATCTCATGGATTTGTGCCATGTTTTGGTATGGCCGACCCTAAATATTTCTTCCAGCCTAAACTACACCACAAAACATAGCTTGACGAGGCAGTCGGTGGTCGGGCATTCGTAACACATGTCCCAACCACCTCAACTTATGAAATTTCAATACTTTAACTATTGACCTACCATCCTTAGCTAGCACTCGTTTCCTAATAACAGTATTGCTTAATCGGTTGTCCCATGATACATGAGCAATGCTTCGAAGACACCTATGATAAGTGTTCTGCCCAGTGGTCCAATCTCCTGGATTGAAAATGATGAATAATAGTCACATCTGTTTCCAAAATAGTCTCACTTACAATCGGATTCATAATACCGGTTTTCTTGATAAGTTTGAACAGTCGCCTACTGTTCCATCTCTCTCGCTTTCGCTTCCCACCACTGTTCACGATCATTGCGTAAGCTTTTTATCAGCCTGCGCCTAAGCTGACTTCGCTCCTTATCGTACTCAGAACTAGACGCAATGAGTTTCCGAGCATCCATCAGGTCGGTAGATACTACTAAAATCCACTGCTTCTCCCTGACCTTATTATGGTTTACCTTACTAGCAGATATTATCATTGCTGTTTTCACAGCCTTTTTGAACATTATTCTAAACTGCTATTGAATAATCTTTCTGAAGACCTTGTTGTGCACGAAAACTCAGGTAAGGACATCCACATCTATATTTAAGCGAATATTACAGAGTTGTTAAGTATATATGTACAAAACCTTCCCGTGAAACCTTCATCATATGCAAACTAATCCTTATTTGTTTCAGATTTCAGTGTTTTTTTTCATTTAGACTCTCAGACTTCAGACTTCACTTTACCCTTACCTAGTACAAATCACCTTCTGTTCTCATTTTTTTTCCTTCTCTATTCTTATGCTGTCAGATTGATTGATTTCCATTTGATATCATCATATACTACTTATGCGAATATAAGTAGTGTACACCACAACCTTACCAATTGATTAATTAATTGATTCATTGACTAAATCAATAGTCAACTTACTAGTAATGTACAAGCATCAATACCAATATCATAATCATTCATTAGAGGTGATGATTGTTTAGATAAGCATAATTGATTGTTATGCTTACGTTGTAACAATCTAGGCGGCCATGGAATAAAAGCTAAATTGAAAACAGAACAAGAAGATAATAAGACACTTCAATAATGAAAATATATGAAAATCTAGTGATAAATTCAATGATTTTATAGAAATCATTATTGGATCAATGGTGCAAATTGTAATGATTATGTTGGGGATGTTAGATCCCCGAAACTCGCTTGATAAATGCCTCATCTTGGATTTCATGTTTGCGAGCATGGGTTGATTAGTTGACCTTGAGATTTCATTTCACATCAGCAAAATCCATCGCTGTGATTGGCTGCTGTGTATTTTAGTATGCTATTTTTGTGACTGTCCCAAGCCCGTTACTATGATGTTTGAATAAACGAGAGTTGTGTGCTTGATTGTATTGTGCTTGCTGGGTGTTGTAGAATATACTTTCTACGCTATATCAAGACTTCTGTTTACAGCTTGGGATTCAAGGTAGCCTATCTGGACGCTGGTAACTGTCTCGTTCGCGTTTATCGACTAAGGTGAACTCGTAATAGCTTCAAGCATACCTAGTGACGAACATATCAGATTACTATAACTAAGATTGTTAAGTTACACATTTTTTGAAACCATGAATCGGCTAATGTTGTTAGACCAGCGCATTAGAAACCTGGAAGAAGGCACTGGACGGCCGTCACATCTTCACAACCCCCCCGTAATGCAATTACCTGTGCTTACTGGTGACTAGCTTCGTGAGGAATCTTCTCTAAGTTCTAGTGGGAATTTGTGACCAGTGAAGTTCAACATGTTCGGGTGTAGACAGTAACTATCGAAGACAATGTACGAGGTTGCGCAACTCCGTGAATTGATTGAAGAGAAGACATTAACACCATTAGATACCGGCTCAGTGGTCCAGAGGTTAGGCGTTCGCGCACAATATCGAAGGTCCTGGGTTCGAATCCTGCGGGGTGCAGGAGTCGTGGATGCGCACTGCCGAGGAGTCTCATACCAGGACGGAACGGCCGTCCAGTGCTCCCAGGTTTCCAATGGTGGTCTAGCATTGATCGATTTATGGTTTCAAAATGTATACCTTAATAAGTTGTTTATTGTACATGCAAAAAGCGACGAGCCTAATGTGGCCGAGCAAAACCGGAATCGCACTGATAGAACATGAATCGATAACAAAAATATGCATGGTAACCAGCCGTCCCACTACCTTAGAACTTTTTATTTTACTGAGTCAAGGAATATCAGGAGACAAATTGAGAAGAATGAATATTTTAGGAGAAAAAATAACTCTTCATATATATTGCACGGAACTGAAGTTTGCAGAACTACTATAACCATCATGAAAAATGCAGTTATTTATTTATACACAACTGTTTATGCAAGATACTCCATATCTGTTGACTGGACACAGTCAGCAACAACCTACTATGGTAGAGAAACAAACCAGCTAGTTGGGGGCGTTAGATCCCCAGAACTCACTTGATAAAGGTCTTAATTTTGGATTTATTTCATGGGCTGATCAGTTAACCTTGAGATCACATTTCCCACTCGGACAATCCTTGGTTGTGATTGGTTGATATGTCATTTTAGTACGCTATTTTTGTGACTCTCACAAGGACGTTTCTATGATGTATAAATAAACGCGATGTATGTTTGAGTTCAGTGCATTTGCTGGGTGTTTGCAGAATACACTTTCTATGCCATATCAAGACTTTTTCTTCAGTTAGTTAGGGGCAACGGATCAGAGTAGCCTACCGTGTCACTCGTTTATCGACTAAAGTGACAAGCATAACACAACTTCAAGCTAAAGAGGAAATTACGCTATAAGTGGATAAAATACACATTACAGAAATTACTGAACGGTATCACAAAGTAAGTCCTAACTTGGAATCTTTGAGACAAAATGGAAAAGAGGAAGACCAAAGCACGCACTGTTCCAAGAATTGAAAACTGACACTAAAAGAATGAACAACACTTAGGAACTGGAAAGGACAGTTCAGAAGAACTCAGATTGGAGACCCATACTCTACGAGGTGTAATAAGCGTATGTAATTAAATAAAATACATTTTAAGTAATATAAAACTAATACTGAATAAAATGGTTTGTGATGACTGGTAAATAAAATTATTCCGACTGTATAGTAGCATGAATAAAAACCTGGAGTACAGAAGTTCCTAGCCCCATTGATCAATATAACCTGAAACATTAATTTCTATCTAACCCAGCTGCTTGCTAAGTAAAGCACCATATACCGAAAAGTATTCATAAACACATCAGCGACATCTGATCACTAACTGGACAAAGGATATTCAATCGATAATATTCATAAGCACACAAAATGACTAAAATTGTTTTAATTAGAAAGTTGCTTTCTATATAAATGAATAAATCCACTTATTCGATTCATAGTTATATTCAAAACAATGGTTCCCTTTGATAAATTTGAACAGATAAATGAGAGAAGACATATTTTGTGAGATAGTACTATTTCGTGCTTTCTCGTCAGTCACATACAAGCAACATGTTATTCGTGTGTAAATACAGTTTTGAAGATAAGGTCAAAATTTCTTATTTAGCATGACATTCATTCACTAGAACCATGGTAAACAAAGGTCACGAAATGGTACCATCTCACAAAATATGTCTTCTCATTTTGGGGCAGAGTTTTGGAAGTTTGCGTTTTTACACATTTGAAATCATCAATCAATCATTGTTAGACTGCCACCATTAGAAACCTGGGAGCACTGGACGGCGATTTCGTCCTGGTACGGGGGACTCATCAGTAGTGCGCATCCACGACCTGCTCCTCGCAGGATTCGAACCCGGGATCTTCAGCATTGTAGGCGAACGCCTTACCATCGGACCACTGGGCCGGCTGGTATCCAACGGTGTTAATGTCTAACTCTGATTATTCTAGGGATTTTGTGCGACCTCACCCATTTGTCTTTGGTAGTTGGTTACTGCCTACACCCGACGTAATACAGAAACAATAAAAAAGGATAGGAAAGTGTCACAGTACTGTGTGCCAGACAACAGCTTAAAGATTACCAGCGTTTACTTTTGAAGAATCTGTCCAAAAACCATTCAGAACTAAAATCCAAGATGCAATTCTAGTCTAATGTAACAACATGATATTGAAATACTTAAGTTGACAATTATAATGCAAATTTAGTCGATAACCGGTTTGTATTGAAATGAAGTAATAAAATTTTTTATAGTTCATTGAATTAATATATATATATATACAACTTTAAAAAAAAAACTACATCATACCGGACATTTTAAATGTTTCAGAGACACGTTTACCCAATGAATATGATTGTAAAGAATGATGTACTGTAGAGTTATTCAAACAAATTGATTGATTCTTTTTAATTGACGATGTTACAGATGATGCTGATGATGTTGATAATGAGGAGGAGGAAGATGAAGAAGATGCATGCGGCGATGCAGTTGACAACTGGACACGAGAATTCACTGACATAGTATTATTATTAGTAGTAGTATTAATAGTGGTAACAACATTTGTCAATTGTTGAAGTTTAGATCGAACTAATTCAGTTTGATTAATATTTGTATAAAAATCTGAATAACTAATATTTGGTGCTAAAGCTATTAAATGAGCTAAATGAGAAATAAATAGAAAACAAGAAGAATAATAGAAATAAAAATGCAAATGACCATAAATTGTTTGTTTAATTGATTAAATAGTATTTTGGATCAGTCAGTCAGATGCAACGTAGAACTTCGTAAGTAAGTACATCAGTTCATGTTGTCATACCTTATCAGCACAGGGATATAATTGTCAATTCAAATCCCATAATAGTAGTAGAGGTAGTAAAGATATTAGAAGTAATCGGAGAGGTTAGGATTAGAAGATATTATTCAAGAAGTATGATTCAGTGAGAAAAGTTTAGATAGACAAACAAAACTAGTGGAGTTGAGGAATCCAGAAGATTAGGATTTGAGAGAACACAAAGAATAAATGCACCGGCGCCATTGCGATCGATTTTGAGCCATGTCATTCAGAGTCTCTAACCATCGATTATTATCATCTCGCGGACTCCAACCAAGTAGTCGACACCTACTAACATGACTCAGTTCACTTGTCAGTGACTTTATGGATTTGTGCCATGTTTTGATCTGGCCGTCCCTAACTTTCTTCCAACCTACTACTACACTACAAAACAAAGCTCGACGGGGCAGTCGGTGGTTGGGCATACGCAACACATGTCCCAACCACCTCAACTGATGAAGTTTCACCACTTCATCTATTGATCTGCCGTTCTTACCTAGCACTCGTTTCCGAATAACAGCGTTGCTCACTCGGGTGTCCCACGATATACGAGCAATGCTTCGAAGACATCGATGATCGAAAACCAATAACCGACAAATATCTTCTACTCTGACTGGCCATGTTTCACAGCCATAAAGTAAGACGGAGCAAACTACCGCGCAGTACACTCGTCCTTTAGTCAGCAAACGGACAATTACTAGAGATGAGAAGGGTGAGTTGTGGAGATAAGAGCAATGTGAGGGAGTGTAGGAAAGATTTGATTGTAACCAATTTGATTTTGTGTGTTGTTACAGGTATGAGTGCGGATATCAATTACCGGCTGCCCACACCGTGGAAGGGTGTTTCTTGAAGAACCTGAAAAGGAGATCTGGGAGCGTGACCACAGAGACCAAGGGACAGCTGCTTCAGGCTGGTCACGCACGGCCATTTTTTATGAGAAGTATTTAAACTGTTAGCTCGGCCTTACTGCCGGAGACGGAAATCCGTGGGGTACAGTGAAGTGTGACATTTTTAGATTCAATCTTTTCTAACCCCTTCCATCCTTGTGAGAAGGTAGCATCGCCACAGATGTTAGTTGTCTCACACCCCTCTACAGTCAGTCAGCAGTACGACTTCACCCTCAGACCTTGAGTAGCTGCTTTTAGTCTCATCGTTCTCCAATCGACCTAACAGGCATGTTCGAGCCTACAGGAACATAAGTTCCAGCCAATATAGCTCGGTTGTGTGATCACGATAAGCAATTCCGACCATCACGTCAAGGTAGCAGCTTCGGTCGAGACAAAGGCTAGTTCAGCGTTTTCAACCGATTGTCATTGAAAATGTTTTTACATTCATCATTTTAGTTTAGTGTATAAATAAGATAATTTCTTTTTCAAAATAAATCAATAACTCACCTCGTAGTGGTCGAGTTGATAAAACAATCACTTCTGAATTATTCAATTCATAATCAGGAGGTAATTGTCTAACAATCCAAACTTCTAATCCAATAGTATCACAATCACGTGATTGTTTGACATAATTATGACATGGTTTTAACCATAATGATTTCATGGACTGAATTGCTCCAAGTTGTAGAGAATAAGTTAACAAGTCAACTGTACTAACAGGAGGGATAATTTCTATGTCTGACATAATTGATGATGGCTTCATAATATTATTGTGTTGGTCTAGTTGTATAAGAGTGAATAAGGATTGGTTTTTTGTGATTGATGTAGTCCAGTATATAATTAAATTGGATGAAAGGGCATATAATCCAGATTCTACAATGGGGTGTAAATCGTAGACAGCATTGGTGAGACAGTATTCGTGAACGTGGAATTTGAAGAATGAAAAAAGTCCAAGTATATAAAATCATGACATGGTCAACAAAAAATACTTTACTCACTTTAGACATCTTCTCATTGTGATGCAATCTTTTAATAGAAAAACATATAAACGACTTTTAGTGGATAGATTAACACTGCGAACCCATATTTTCATGAATCATCATATATTCTATACCTAATCTGGGTATTCTACCATAAAATACTATTTTACTGCTCATTCTACTACTACTTATGGCGTAAGCGAGATATCCATCTACCAACTGAAAGACGAGCGTACTACCCAGCATTTGGCTCCGCCCTACTATACGGGTGTGAAACAAAGCCATGTAACAGTACAGGATATTCGTACGTTACTGGTTTTTGGTCATAGGTGTCTCTGAAGCATTGCTCGTTTATCTTGGGACAATCGAGTAAGTAATGCTGTTGTTAGGAAATGAGTACTAGATAAGGATGGCAAATCAATAGATGAAGCATTGAAACTTCATCAGTTGAGGTGGTTGGGACATGTGCTGCGTATGCATAACCACCGATTGCCTCGACTAGCTGTTTTGTGGTGTAGGAGTACGTTAGAAGAAAACTAGGGGCGGCCATACCAAAACATGGCACAAATCCATGAAGTCACTACTGACTAGTGGACTGAGTCATGTTGGCAAGATGTAGGCAACTTGGTTGGGGTCCGCGAGACGAAAGTCACCAATGGTTAGAGACCCTGGACGACATGGCTCAAAATCGTTTGCAATGGCGCAAGTGCATCCCCTGTTTGTATTCTCTTAAATTCCAATCGTCTGAATTTTTCATCATCCCTATCTTTTTCCTTCTAAATTTACTTCGCTGGATTATACTACATCTTGACTAACATCTTCAAATCCTAATCTTCTCCAGTACCGCTTATCCTCCTACTACCTCTACTACTATGGGATTTGAACTGACAATAACATCTCTGTGTTAATGTGGTATTGGCAACCTGAACTGATATACTTACACGTACGAAGATCTACATTGTAACTGACTAACTAACTCACACTGCCTGACTGAATCATTAAATGTACAGATAACCTGAGTACACAAACAATCATATATAATCAATAAAATGCATTGAATTACCTTGTTAGAGTAATTAAAAAAAACAACAACATACCTTCATATAATGTGCACAATCGTAATTGATCCCAATTCATATCTTTATCGATCGATTGATGATTAATCACCATTGGATAATTAAATGACATTTGTAAAGGTAAAACAGACAGACAATTAGATAGACTGGTCAATGATGATGATGATAAGCAATCAATAGATAACAATGTATGTAATGCAACATTACAATTATGATGATCATTTTCATGTTGTACAATGAATATAGCACAAAATACCATCATCATCATCATTGAATGATGAGTATGATTGAATGTAGTAACCGATGAATTTGGCTCATGCTGTTTAGTGGATGTTAAAGAACAAGCAAATTGTAAATTATTATCAACTTGAAGCCATGTAGGATGAATACACGATAATCTAAAGTAAATTAAATTTAATAAAAAAGAAGGTAAAGTTTCAAAAAGGAAGTTCTATAGTAAATTATAGAGAAAGTTGGTTGAACAGAAAATAATGCTGCGAACGATTTGACATATGTCAATATAAGACGACTAATAGTTCTTGCCTGGAATACCGGTAGGTCAGTCAGTCAGTTAGTTAGTTAAAACGTAAAACTTTGTACGTAAGTATGTACATCAAGTTCAAGTCGTTATGCCACACATTAGCACACAGACGCAATTGTTAATTCAAATCCCATAGTAGTAGTAGAGGTAGTAGAAGTATTAGCGGTTATGGAGAAGATTAGGGTTCGAAGATATTAACTCAATAAGTAGAGTAAACTTAAAAATAAAAGATAATGGTGATGAGGAACTCTGGAGGTTAGGATTTGAGAGAACACAAAGAATGGATGCACCTGTGCCATCGCAAACGGTTTTGAGCCATATCATTTAAAGTTTATAACCACTAATTGCTATCATCTCGCTGACCCTAACCAGGTAGTGTTCACTTACTCGTAAAAGCACACGAGACCAAATTAGTCATCCGGAACACTGATTCAACTATAGTCAAACGACGCTAAAAAATAATCAGTAAAAATACACAAAAAAATGCTAAAAACACATACAGAGTAGTCGCAGTCGTTGCAGAACTACTGTGGTGCGCGCTACTTATAAGTAGTATATGATGCGAGTAAAAACGTAATGTCTGGCAGCAGAAGATGGGGGAAGATCAAGAAAGGAAGAGCGGGAACACAATGGGATTTGTATGAAACGCATGAACAGTGAAATGTCAGACAATGGATTAGTGTTTGCAACAAGAACAGTCCAGTTCGATATGATGAACTGATATTTTGCAAATTAACGATTTACGATATGGTTTTCCTATTATTTTACTGAGTAACTCAGTAATTTTCGTTAAATACAATTCGGTTGCCCTCACCTGTGTTCTCCTTCACTACAGTGCAAGTATTAGAAGTAATCGGAGAGATCAGGGTTCGAAGATATTATTCAAGAAGTATAATTCAGTGAGATAACCTTAGAATGATATGGATGATGAGAAACTCTGAACACAAAGAAGGAATGCACCTGTGCCATTGCAAGCGATTTTCAGCCATGTCATTCAGGGTCTCTAACCATCATAGAAATGAACGATAAATGATATACAGTCATACGATGTGGTATATTGACGATTGCGCACAAGGATGAATTACTGACGTAGATCCCCACCTGGAGTGATGTGAGATTATATAAAAGCATTACGGGGTTGTGAAGATTGTTAAGTTACACATTTTTGAAACCATGAACCGATCAATGTTAGACCACCATTAGAAACCTGGAAGCACTGGACGGCCGTTTCGTCCTGGTATGGGACTCCTCAGCAGTGCGCATCCACGACTCCTGCACCCCGCGGGCCCTAACCAGGTAGTCTTCACTTACTCGTAAAAGTACACGATCCCAAATTAGTCATTCGGAACACTGATTCAACTATAGTCAAACGACACTAAAAATAATCAGTAAAAATACACAAAAAAATGCTGAAAACACATATAGAGTAGTCGTAGTCGTTGCAGAACTACTTGTAGTAGCAATTTGAAATTGATTTAAAAGTCAGATTAAACGCGGATTAAATTTTGCTGAGAGGCGAGTGGTAGTTTCGATGTTTACACTATGTTTAGCTCAAAATCGTTTGCAATGGCGCAAGTGCATCCATTCATTGTGCTCTCTTAAATTCTAATCTTCTGGATTCGTCAGCACCTCTACCTTTGTCTTTCTAACCTTATCTCACTCACTGAATTATACTTCTTGAATAATATCTCCAAATCCTAGTCTTCTTCATTACCATTAATACCACTACTATCTCTATCACAATGGGATTTGATTTGACATTTGCGTCTCTGTGCGAATGTGGAATGGCAACTTGAACTTATGTACATACGTACGAAGTTCTACGTTGCAACTGACTGACTGACTGACTATTTTAAGCTACTGGGTTGCACAATTCAACTCCATTCTATCTTATCCAGTTCGAGTAGTCTGATTGTATCAATAACTCTCACATGAAAACTCATCTCAAAGCCTATTTTCGGTTAGATTGCTACAAATTGTTATCTTTATTACAATAAGCATGCATTATACTACTGTAGTGAAGGAGAACACCGGTGAGGGCAACCGAATTGTATTTAACGAAATATTACAGAGTTACTCAGTAAAATTGGAAAACCATATCGTAAATCGTTCATTTGCAAAATATCAGTTCATCATATCGAACTGGACTGTTCCTAATGCAAAACATCAATCCATTGTCACTATTCATGCGTTTCATACAAATTCCATTGTGTTCTAACTAACTCTTCCTTTCTTGATCTTCCTCCATCTTCTGCTGCGCCAGACATTACGTTTACACTCGCTTCATATACTACTTATAAGTAGCTCACACCACACTACTACCACTCAGCACTCATAAAAAAAAAATACAATTCCGATTAACAATGATAACTTACAAGTTTTATTATGCATATTTTCCTACCACTAATTGTTCATTGAAAGCCAGATAGTAATTTGAGTCAGTCAGTAATTAAGTAAAATTATTCACAGTTAGACAAAATATATCAGTGTAAAAAAATAAAAACTGAATAGACTATAGACATTATTTCTTCCTTAGAGACTATGAAGTTTGTCAATTGTCAACATTTTTGTATCTATTTTTACACGGTTATATGCTTACTTCATAAAACAACAAAACGTTCAAACACTATCATTTGGATGGGAATGAGTTACCTACTAACTTTCGTTTTGAGTATTTATGAAATAAAACACTTAAATATTCATTCTTTGCTCTCATTATCTTCTGTTTTGTAACATTACACGGTGATATAAATAATCACACTTGACATAAACCCAAACAGAGTAAGTCAGTTATAACGTAGAACTTCGTACGTACGTACATAAGTTTAAGTTGCCATAACACATTAGCACACAGAGATCCAATTGTCAATTCAAATCCCATAGTAGTGTGGTGTGTGCTACTTATACGAACGATATAAGTAGTATAAGAAGGGACGTGAAAGAAGAAGTCGCACGGTTAGAAGAGGAAAACGGAATGCAAATGGAGCAAAAACAAGAAGTGAATGGAGTAGTACTAACAGGAAGGAAAGGAAACAACAACAGGAATGGAAGAAGGATAGAGTGTTAGAAGTCACGGCTCAAAGATGGTGTGCAAAAACAGTATTCAATGTAATGTCTTCGTTTTTAACTAACCCAGTGTAAATTTGCATAATACAATCTTTCTCGCCTGCCTCAGTCTTCTCAGAGGTAGTAGAAGTATTAGCAGTAATCAAATAGATTAATGATCGAACACATCATTCGAGATGTATACCCCAAAGGAATCAATTGAAAAAAGCAGAAAAAAACGGTCATGAGGAATTCAGAAGATTAGAATTTGGGAGAACACAAAAGGTGGATGCACTTGCGCCATTGCAAACGGTTTAGAGCCATGTCATTCAAGATCTCTATTGATTACTATTGATTACTATCATCTCGGGGACCCCAACACCTCAATCCAGTTGTCAGTGACTTTATGGATTTCTGACATGTTTTTGGTTTGGCCGCCCCTAACTTTCTTCCAACCTACTCTCCTACATCGTGAAACATCACTTGACGAGATAGTAGTCAGTGGTTGAGCTAAGTATCCAAACAACAACGAAAAAAACGGTCAATATGATTTATTCACAATTTAAATAACGATCATATATATGTATATATATATATTGTTAGGATATTCACCAAATATCCTAAGAATACTATTTTTAGAACTGCAATCCTATTGGTCGAATTCTATTGGCCGAAATTTTGATCGTTCTTACCGTCAGGGTCAAATACTTCAATGTCACCTCTTATTGGTCATCTGGACGGTCAATGTCATTCAAATGTTCTTTTCTATTGGTCGTCCTAAATTGTCAATGTCACAGACGTTGATGCTTTTTCTTATTCGACCTTAGTGTATAAATACGCGCTATCTGGAAGACTTAATAATTCAATTCCGTTTCCCCTGCCTACTTCTTCTTCTGTTTTCGACCCAATAAACATCTTCCTCCCACGGTGTTACGTTCTGATTTCTAGGAGATTGGGAAAAGCCTTTTGGGTCGTATTGTGATATTTGAATTGGACGCCGTTAGGACTGAAAAGTTTTACGTAGCCGCGTTTACAACATACATATATATATATATATACATGATAGAAATGTATATTACTTACTTTAACTCCAATGAACTAGGCAATAAATTATTCAATTCAAGTTTTATCAATTTTCTTGTATGCATATTAAAAAGATAATAAGATAGATCATTGTCGTCAATGATGGATGTACAAAGGAGTTCAGGTAGAAGACGACAAGTGATTAATAGTAAATAATTTTTAGCTAATTTTAAATCAACAATAGAACCTGGTACTGCAGTTAAAATTGATGATGTATAACTTGTCTGAAAAAGAAGAAGAAGAATAAGAAGACACAAGAAAAGCAAAGAAGAATATTGTTAGGATATTTATCCAACACATCCTAAGTGAATTATTTTTGTAAGTCTAATTCTAATGGTCATCCGAACTGTCAATGTCATAGACTTCAAATGTTGTTTCCTATTTGACCTAATTGTATAAATATGCATTATTTGTAACGTTTTATGACCCGAAAAGTAGTCCGGGATGCATGCCTTCTTCTGGACTCGGACCTTGTACTTTCTGGATGCTTTTAGAATACACGTTCTATTCCATATCAAGACTTCTTCTTCTACTTAGAAGGGGCTTGGGACACTCGGGTTAGGGTAGCTTGTCATGTCACCGGATCGTCGAGCCTCGCTCTCGTTTACTGACTAAAGTAAACTCGTAATAGTTCAAGCATAACAAATATACAAGAAAGGCTTTTTTTAAGGAATATCAGAGAAAAAAACCACGAATATGATTACATTTGATAAGAAATGGAAACTCAGTATGAATATCAAGCAGATTAAATCATTAACCAGTGTTGAGTATCATTACTTTTGAAGCGATAAGTTAACTATTCATTTTCTTTTACTAGTTTATGAAATTAGAGCAAGGTAGTTTTTTCTGAGAACTCCGCTCTTAAAAACCCTTACCACTGGAGACGGAAATCCGTGAGGTAAGGTGAGGTGTGACATTTTTAGGGTCGACCTTTTCTAACCCTTTCCTTCCTTGCTTGTGAGAAGGCAACATCGCTGCAGATGCTGGTTGTCCGAGGGAAACACATTACTGCTGTCACATCCCTCTACAGTCAGTCAGCAGTACGACTTCGCCCTCAAACCTTGAGTAGCTGCTTTTAGTCTCATCGTTCTCCAATCGACCTGCCTGGCATGGTAGAACCTACAGGAACCTCGGTTCCAGCCAATATAGCTCGGTTGTCTGATCACGATAGGCAAGCCTGACCACCCCACATCAAGGTAGCAGCTACGGTCAGGTAATGATCCAAACATTTTCTAACAAATAGGATAGAATTACTATAGTGTACAATACAAAATTTTTGAGCAAGCTCATCAGTAACTTACCTCATTCATCACATACTTAAAAGCTGCTATCATACCACGACAATCACCTGTGATAAATGTATTACCACACGGAGAAACATATATGTTACCGGAAAGTGTATTATTATGAGGATTTGTAATATTTACAGGATATAACTGTTGAAATAAAAATAGAATTGAAATAAAGTATGTATAACTCTTTATGAATACAGAAACAGGTGATATTCTATATTTTGGTGAAATGTCAACATATTATACATTAAAAATGTATTTTGTTAATATATATTCCTAACAGAGCTATAATAAGATAATGTGAAATCAAACGAATTCATCTTATTTCACAGCTTCCTTTCAGCAGCGTTCCCAGCACCACCAGCTTCGCCTTCGGTTCCTTCACCCCCACCAGCTCCGCCACAACCTCAAACTCCTTCAGGAAGCCCCGCACATCCCCGTCCTCAAACTCCTTCGGCCATGGAATCTTCATCCTTTGCGTAGGCAGCGACACCAAATGTAGTGAATGAGAACACAGGTGGGGCAACCGAATTGTATTTAACGGAAATTACAGAGTTACTCAGTAAAATCGGAAAACCATATCGGAAATCGTTCATTTGCAAAAGATCAGTTCATCCTATGGAACTGGACTGTTCCTGTTGCGAAACATCAATCCATTGTCACTATTCATGCGTTTCATACAAATTCCATTGTTTTCTAACTCTTCCTTTCTTGATCTTCCCCCCATATTATGCTACCAGACTTTACGTTGACACTCACGTTATATACTACTTATAAGTAATTCGCACCACAGCACCACAATATGATTAAGAATGAAGGCTTAGCATAGTTTGGTAAAGCTGAGATCGATGTTTAGAACACAACCAAAAATTGTAATAAGAACAGAATATGAAATATGTAATGAAGCGTAATCAAGATTGGTACATACATATATGATGAAAAATAATAATGCAAAGTAAAGATATGATAACTACTAATAATCAATGAAGAAGAGGATTACGTAATTGTAATGAAAATATTAAATTTTCTTATGGAGATCAGTGTTTTTTCTAGACCACCATTAGAAACCTGGAAGCACTGGACGACCGTCAAGTCCCTGGTATAGGATTCATCAGCAGTGCGCACCCACAACTTCTGCACCTCGTAGGACTCGAACCCAGGGTCTCGTGCGCGAACGCCTAATTTCTGCACCACTGAGCCGGCATCTGACGGTGTTAATGTGTAACTCTAATCAATCTAAGGATTTTGCGCGACCTCACCCAATCGTCTTCAGTAGTTACTGCCTACATAAGACAGGGTTGAACTCCACTGGTCACGTCTTCTCGCTAGAACTCCGAGAATTTTCTCACGATCCTAATCACTAGTGAGCATATTGTACGTTTTTTCTCAATTAGACTTATAAGAGAGATATTAGGGGGTGTAAGAAGGATTTGATTTTGACCAATTTGGTCTCTCGTGCTGTTACAGGTATGTTATGGAGATCAGTGTTTTTTTACACGTTGAAATCATTACAATTACTCACTATAACTAGAACCGGTATCGAATTTATATGTTACGGTCAATATGATTATGCAAAGGACAAAAAGTTAGGGAACTAACAACATTATCTGATTAATCATTGTCATCATAGAAGAGAAAAATAAATCAAGCTTTCTTTCTGTACACATAAGTTAGGACGGAATTACTTTATAGCAATTGTCACTGGAAAACGAAGTAACATTGACGATGGCTGTCTGTCAATTATTTAAAAGGATTTATTGATACTCACTATCGGCCAAGTGCTTAACGATTTCATTAGGTGAAAACTTTACTGTCTTTCAGATATAACTTCCTAAGGAAATGTTCCGAAAACCTAGTAGACACTCTTTTATCTGTATTATTCATGTTACGAATTAATTTTTTTGATTTTATGGACGAATTTCCGATTGTTAAAATGTAATAAAAGGAATAACCGATAGATGATATGCAATGATACGATGTGGGATATTGATGACTGTGCACAAGGATGAATTACTGACGTAGATCCCCACCCGGAGTGATTTGAGATTATACAAAAGACCATTAACTGAAAGAATAGTTCGGTACATAATAAAATGACTCGCTTAGGTACAAAGTATTGACACAAAAAATAACATGACAGCGTCATATATGACTGGAGCAAATCAGTCTGTAGGTCACTCACTCTTCAGTTAATTAAGAGCTGATTTTTAGGCCTAATTCTTGAGCATCCCGGAGGTGAAGTCATTAGAGCATAACAAACATTTCGGATTACATACGGCAACCAGTTGTCAGTCAGTCAGTTACAACGAAGAACTTCGTACATGAGTACATAAGTTCAGTTTACCATACCACATTAGCACAGAGAAGCAATTGTCAATTCAAATCCCATAGTGGTAGAAATAGTTGAAGTATTAGCGGTTATGGTGAAGATTAGGGTTCGAAGATATTATTCAAGAAGTGTAATTCAGTGAAGCAAATGTAGAAAGGGAAAGACAGAGATAATCAGGAATTCTGATGATTAGAATTCGAGAGAACACAAAGAATGGATGCACCTGAGCCATAGCAAACGATTTTGAGCCAGCTGAGAAACAGCTTTAGTTCTGTCATAAATTATCTTCAGTTAAAACGATTTTTGGTAGACTTAGAATGCTATGCTCAAACGAGTAAATGATAATATGGCAATTATTAAAAAGAACGCTAAAGAAAACGGATATCAGAAGAAATGTATTGCAAACTATGAAAAAGGGTATCCTAAAGATTTAAATCAGCTGACTGGAATAGTCAAACAGGAATAGAGAAATGGGGCAATGTTTTACACTACTTGTGGTCTAAAAAGATGAATTAGTGTTTATATTCCCTCATTGGCTGTATTTTTGTGTAGAGCTTTCAAGATGTGTATAAACTTGTCAGACACTTGTTAGGATATTCATCCAATATCTTAAGAGAATTATTTTGAAAGTCTACTTCTATTGGTCGATTCCTATTGGTCAATATTCAAGGACGTTCTAACTATCAAGTTCACATACTTCAAACGTTGCTTCCTATTGGTCAGTATTCACGGTCGTACTAACTGTATAAATACACTCGATTTATGTGCTTAGAAACCTCTGTTCTAGGTGCCTGAAGAATACACTTTTTCTATTCCATATCAAGACTTATTTTACTTAGAGGGGGCTTGGGACGCTCGGATAAGTGTAGCCTGTCGTGTCGCCGGATCATCGACCCTCGCTCTCGTTTACCGACTAAGGTGAACTCGTAACAGTTCAAACTTGTCAACTGACGTGCATAACAGACACTTCTGCAAAAGACGGCCTTATAGAACGAACAGAAAGTGACCATGATATAAAGAAACGACTGTCGAACTGTAATAAATGTGAAAATATTCACACAACTAGCGGGATGATAACACAATCAATATCTATGATCCGAACGAAACCCAATTTTTGATGAAAATGGGTGTGAAAGTCGTCCCATTTCAGAAGGATGAGATGCTTCCATATACCACTCAGTTTCAGAAAAATCTAGTGCCTCGTTTTTAAATGTTTTGTGTAGTTTGAGTGCCTAGCCTTTTCAGGACCTTCGCTTTACTAAGTGTGAGCAAAACCACATGTTAAAAGGCAAAATATATTACAACGTTGCTGTAGTAACGGGCTGAGGTTGATCGTAGTATGGTACAACATTTGAAATGAATCGTACTTGTACCCTAGTCACTTAAATTGATCTACATAGAACAATGAGTATGTTGATCACTAAAAAGTAATGAGTTTGGTTTAAAATAGAGCTTGGTTAGAGTTTAAGCAGGTACCCGAAAACTAGTAAAAGATCATTACACGTAAGCATCACTGGAGAGTGATAGTAAAATAATAACTTCAAGCTAGTTTCAGAGGAAGACCTGCATGTACCACACCAGTGGTGTTAAAAGAGAGGGTCTGTGCACAGAGCTACAAAACATGGCTTCATCAGATATGGGGTCGATAAAACCGATTGGTTACCAAGCGACTCCTTTCAATGCCTAAACACTAAAACTGTATATTTATGTCTCCAGATTGCATCATAGTACCTACCAAACGCACTAAGTTGCATGATTCATTCGTTACTGGATTTTAATTGCAATCCATACAGGCATAGGCGGACATAGCAGTGTTGCATTCTCAGGCAAAAGGTACGTACATTTATCTTGGTGAACATAGACTTAAGAAGTCGATCATGAAGTTATCCTGGAGTATATCTTTTTGATCATGCATGTGATATACACATGCAAATAAAAACGCATTCAATCTTATGCAAAGTCTATTTTGGCTAGTCAGTCTCTCTGGTTTTTCCCAGTGAAATTTTCCTGCTACGGATATTCAGCTTAGATCAAATTATTCTTTGTGTTCTCTCAAATCCTAATCTTCTGGATTCTTCAACCCCTGTAGTTTTGACTTTCTAAACTTTTCTCACTGAATCATACTTCTTGAATAAAATCTTCTAATTCTAACCTCTCCGATTACTCCTAATACCTTTACTACCTCTTCTACTATTGGATATGAATTGACAATTACATCTCTGTGCTGATGTGGTATGGCAACATGAACTGATGTACTTACGTACGAAGTTCTACGTTGCATCTGACTGACTGACTGATTAGATCGAGTAAATGGGAATAGCATTGATTTTCGACTGACTTAGAATTTAGGTGAATTTTGATGCCACAGTTTTGAATATAAAGGTTTTTTCATGCAATTATGAAGTATCCGCACAGAAAAATAATGAAGTGCAAAGTCACTACTCAACAAACAAATTTAGGTCAATTTATATATCTAGACTAGAAAGCTGTCCAATAAAATATTTTAGCAAAGATAACCAATTTACTAAATTGTAAATAACAAGGGAGGTTACTATTTTCCTAGACAACAATAAATCATTTCTTTCACATTCTAATTCAAAAACTGTACATATTTGAAATACTTTAGTTATCTTACTACTGTTATGATTTATGCAACCATAAACTACAAGATACAGACCAAATAATGTTGAAGTAATCTTTAACGTGTTTTTATTCATGTAACATAACAGCTACATGTTATATATACAGATATGTATTTTATAAGATAACTGGAAGATATATCATAAGAGTGAGCAACGCTGTTATTAGGAAACAGGTGCTAGGTAAGAATGGCAGATCAATAGATGAAGTGCTGAAACTTCATTAGTTGAGGTGGTTAGGACATGTGCTGCGTATGGCTAACCACAGATTGCCTCGACGAGCTATGTTTGGTAGTGTAGGAATAGGTTGGAAGAAAGTTAGGGGCGGCCAAACCAAAACATGGCACAAATCCATGAAGTCATTGACGAGTGGACTTAGCCATGTCGGTAGTTGTCGACTACCTGGTTGGGGTCCGCCACATGATAATAATTGATGGTTAGAGACCTTGAATGACATGGCTCAAAATCGTTTGCAATGGCGCTGGTGCATTTAGTCTTTGTGTTCTCTCAAATCCTAATCTTCTGGATTCTTCAACCTCTCTAGTTTTGTCTTCTTAAACTTCTTATCTCACTGAATCATACTTCTTGAATAATATCTTCTAATCCTAACCTCTCCGATTACTTCTAATACCTTTACTACCTCTTCTACTATTGGATATGAATTGACAATTACATCTCTGTGCTGATGTGGTATGGCGACATGAACTGATGTACTTATGTACGAAGTTCTACGTTGCATCTGACTGACTGAGATATATCATAATGAGGAACATACTTATTAGTACCTTTTCAAATAGAGACAGACAGAGACAGATACAACGCAGAACTTCGTACGTAAGTACATCAGTTCAGGTTGTCATACCACATCAGCACAGAGAAGCAACTGTCAGTTCAAATCCAAGAGTGATAGAGATAGGAGAAGTATTAGCAGTAATGGAGAAGATTAGGGAGCGAAAATATGATTGGAGAAGTATAATTCAGTAAGATAAATTTAGGAGAAAGATAGAGATTATGAGGAATTCAGAAGGTTATAGTTTGAAAGAACACAAAGAGTGGATGCATCTGCATCATTGCAAACGATTCTGAGCCATGGTTGGGTCATCACGATAGGCAAGCCCGACCACCACGTCAAGGTAACAGCTTCGGTCGGGTTTTCAAACACTACAGTTCCTCAATGATTTGACTTGCTTAAACCATATTGATCTAGATTGACAATTCAATTAAACGACCGAAAAAACCATTAGCCATACAACTATACCACATAACCCAACTGACTTTTTCGTGATAATCTATTTTAACACAGAGTAGGAAGTAATGCGTCCTAACTACAAACTCATACTGAAACCTAACATTGAATTGACTAATACTAACCGTCTATTAAATACATATTGATGATTAAAGCTAGAAGTTAAAAAGAAATGTGTCACACCTAAATACAAGTTAGCTAGTATACGCAGTACAAATGTGTGTTCTTTATTTTGACCGACTCACCGAATTAGTGATACCACCAAAATGTCGAAATCAAAGTAAACGAAATGGGTTTCAAATCTGAAATCCATTGATTGGCAGTCAAATGCTCTAGTCATTGGACTATCCCTTAATAGTTTCTAATGAACTAGAAATTATTATTTTATGCGAGCACTTCAAATACATAAGAAAACAGATTAAACTAACTTTTAATTCCAAGTCATTGGGTGTTGAGAATGACTGTAGCACAACTAGTGATTGGCCTCCAAAGTCTTGAGATGATAAAGAGTTTCCAACAGCTTGTACATTTTTGTGGCAACAGCATATAATCACAAGTCTAGCTTCAGAACGCACAGCAAGGGAAACAGGAATCACAGAAGATAATCCCCTAGACTTAATGAATTTTGTCAACTGTACAAGTAAAATAAATTCAAACACTGAACATACTTGGATGACCTTTGTAACTTTGCACGATTTTTTGTTGTATATACTCAAAAATCCGTTATTCCAACCTAATACCACGTAATCATTACAAGCATCTACACAAATAATCTGAGGACGCATCAGATCGCAGTTATAATACGTTCCATTCTTTAAAAATTCAGATTGACTATCTTTAATAATGTAAAAAATTGAGTCATATTCTCGAAATTCAGATACAAGCTGACGCATATCTTTCTCAGTCGACATTTGAGTAAAATTAAAAGCCGTCTGCAAAATCTATATCAGATTCAGTCTTCAACAGCGAGGATATGAGATCAAAAGATCTTTAAAATTCCTTGCAATTTATGGTACTGCAAAGATACAATCCCTCCTTGATTGTGTCAACAGGTGAAAATGTCGTGTTCTGGTAAGGAGAAAGTATGATATGCTGACGACCTTGAGCGAACCAATCACAATCAAGATACCTTCAAGCAGTTTCGGTTTTCGAAACGGTTGGAGGTTAAGTGGCATGAGTTGGTTTTAGTGATTTTGATGCTTCAGTTGATCCAGCTTTCTATTGAATGAATCAACAGATGGAGCTTCACTCACATGTTGAGTTAAGAGGTCCTTTTCGTAGGTGTTTCGATGGGAGAGTTGATAGCCAGTACATCTAAAGTCGGCCTTAACGGCGCCGGTAATTCCGAATATCACCACAGGAGAAGCGCCAGTCTACTGTGATACGTTTGCATTCGAAATAAGGCATGAAATAAGGCGTGAAACGACCCACTCTTTAAAAGTTTTAAGAATATCTGGCTGAGTTAGGTAACAGTCCTGCCGATCCAATGCAAACATTGTTGGAGAGAGCATCAGGGATTGAGCAGGTACCTAAGGGGCATTTGTTACGTTTAGTCACCTTTTCTAGCAGCACACACAGGAGCATGCTCACTGCCTCACGTCTTTGTTCATACCAGGCTAGCAGAGACGGTTTGCTATCAGCGTAACAGTTACTCAGACACCTGGATATGAAAGTTTGTGCAACGTGTTTAAAATACTGTGTCAACAGTTTTTCAGCACGACTGGACAACCAATGCCCTTAAATGAGTCAAAAAAATACTTTCCTAGCCCTTCCTCCATTTGTTTGATTCGTAGCTTCAGGGTTGTTGATGATAACTCATGCCGAATATCAGTGACTTCTTTTTGAAGCTGAGCGAATTTAAGAGGTTCATTTCCTTGGAAACTATTCAAGAAAACTGTATGAGACGAAGTATTTGCAACTACAATGTTCATCTCAGAAATATGTTGTATATCTAAAATAAACTGAGATGAAGTCCAACTTTCAAAAAGTTCGAGTAGAGTACTTAGCGGAAAATGAGCTAATAGAAAAACTTGGAGATTTTTGGCCTGTGAAAAGAAAGAATTCCCGGACTCCGCAAATAATAATAATAATTTATTCTAAAATAACAAAAAGTGAATGGCACAATACACACCTATGATTTTCCTACCGAATGTGCAATATCTTGAGTCAGTTTCCTTCGAATATCTCGAGAATAACATCGAAGATTACAACTTATTTTGTGCCTGTTATTGCAGGACTTCTCTAATTACCAAGCTAGATGTGTATGCTGTAGTGTCGATGGGTGCTACGGTTATGTGATGAAGCTCCGTGAGCAGTGTTGTTGTCTCCTGTTGTCTCCTACTTACCTACGCCTGTCACACCCAGAGAATGGCAGCCTACCACTATTCTCTGAACTACCATGACTAGGTCTTCATTTCTAGTTCCATCTAAATGCTGTTCATTCTTCTCATTTCTGTCTCCAGTACTTTGCCTCACGTATTCTTCGATCTTCCTCTTCTTCTTTGGCCATGAGGATTACAAGTGAGGGCTTGTCTTGTGATAAGGTTAGGTGCTTTCTTCAATGTGTGTCCTATCCACCTCCAGCTCCTTTTCTTAATCTCTTCCTCTGTCAGACTTTGGTCTGTTTTCTACTACTGTAGGTTGTTGCTTATGCAAGTGGTCAACGGATACCCAGTGTCTTGCGTAGACAACTGTTAATAAACACTTGTACCTTCCGGAAGATGTCCATCGCAGTTCTCAAAGCTTCCGCCCCATACAGTATAAATATTATACAAAGGAATATCTTGACTTTTGTATCGAAAATTGTGAATTTGGTGTTGGTTGACAGTTGTTTTGATTTTCAGATGTTCTCCAATTGTTGAATTATTGTCCTTGCTTTGCTGATATGCGTCTTCACATAAGATCTGCCGTGCTCGTCGATTTTCCTGCACAAATATGTAAAGATTTTGTACACCAACCAAAGCTTCTTCTTATTGTGTTATTTGAATATACTGCTGCTAAGGCTTCTTCTAAACTGGTCATCTACTCTTGCATTTGTTTCTGAGTGTGCGACAGAAGAGACAGATAATCTGCGAAGCCTAAGTCGTCCAGCTGCATCCTAGTTGTCCAGTGTGTCCTGTGCTTCCCTCCCCAAAGTTCACGTCTTTATAATCCCATTGACCACTAGGAGAAAGGGAAAGGGTGAGGGGAGGCAACTTCGTCTGACAACAGTCTTCACGTAAAACGATCCTCCATGTAGGATTTCGCATCTTAACCCATCATACGAGTTCTTCATGATGTGGAATATCTTCTCAGGCACACCGCAGTGTCAAAGAAGCCGCCCTAGTATTAGCCTGTCCACTCTATCAAATTGTTTTTCGTAATCAATGAAGATGATGTAAAGCGGTAAATTCCATCCAATCGATTGTTCCGCAATGATCCATACTGTCGCAGCATGGTCGTTACGTGATCTGTTCTTAAGGAATCCAGCCTGTTGATTTCTATGTTCAAACTCTACGGAGGCCTTCGTTCGGTTTAACAATTCCCTTTTGAAGACTGTACTGGTATTGAGAGAAAATTGATGTCTACGTAGTCCTCCCACGTTCTGAGATCGCCTTTCTTTGATACCTTGATTTGGCGTTCTTTATTACGGTCTGTTTGCATTTGTTCTTCATCCGAAATCTTGTTGAAGAGAATGCGGAGTGCCTTAGCTGTTACATCTAGGTCTGATTTCAGTGCCTATGCTCAAATGTTGTCTGCTTTGCCATTATAGATTTGTCTGACGCTAAGGTGATCTCTTAAATTGTTGATGGCTCAAAATTTATCAGAAGGTCCATAGATGCCGCTAAGATTTTAGATGGGTTCATTGGGGCTGGTCGGTTCAAGAGTTCTTCAAAGTGCTCTAATCACCTGTTCCACTGTTCTTCAAAGTTGCTGATTACTTTGCCTTACTTTTCAATAATCATTCTGGTTTACTATAATTTCCAGCAAGCTCCTTTGTTGTATCATACAACTGCCGCTTGCAGTCTTTTCCCTCGTTATTGCTAGATATCCTACATATTTACGTTTGTCGGCTCTGATGCTTCACTCCAACCGCCTATTTGCTGCTGGGTATTCAGCTTAAGCCTTGGTTTTCTATGCTATTGTTTCGCTGATATTGATTGCTGGCTTATTGTTTCTCCATTCTTGAAATTTTTACAGTGTATTAACAGTGACCCATTCCTTGTGATCGTTCTCCTCGTATCACAGAACCTCATCATTTGGTAAAGTGATTGCCACTTTGATCCCTTTCCAGTAGTTCCCCATGATAGATCTCTCACCACTGAATAGGTCTCGAAAAGTCTGGAACCTATTGCTGAGGGCTATCTAGAATTCGTTGACTTTAAAGGTATCTCGAAGAAAGGCCGCCTTAAACTTTTATGACGCCGTTCACCCAGTTGTCTAGCGCATCTTGGGTTTCAGTTTCATTTTCGTGACCAGCAAGTGGTGGTCTGAGGCTATATCAGCTCCTCTCCTGGTTCGTATGTCCTTCATGGTCCTTCTGAACGTTTTGTTGATACAGACATGGTCGATGATCCGGTGAAATCTATGTAGTTTTTGTATGTGTTTGTATGGGAATGTGGTGCCGCCGGTGACAGTTTGTTCATAGCACATAAGTCTGCGAATCTCCCACCGTTTTGGTCCCTTTCTCCTAGTCCACGTCGTCCCATGATGTCCTCATATTCACTATCGTCCATGCTAACCTTGGCATTAAGGTCTCCCATCAGAATGGTCAAACTTTTTGATGGGCATCGCTCAACGACTGACTGCTGCCTCTCGTAGAATTGATCTTTACCGTGTTCATAGTAGTCGTCTGTAGGTGCAAAGTACTGAACGACGTCCATTGTAATGACCTCTTTCTTTGTTTTGAAGGATGCTTTGAAGATATCACCCTATCAGTTCCTTTTGGGCTTGTTTCGATAACATCAGTGTACGTTTTCGTGTGTGAGTCTTTTTCTTATTCATGGGCTGAGTATAACTGCAGCTGTCCTGAAGTTAGTCTTATTTGTCCTACCTCCGTCCTATGTGTTTCACCGATTCCAAGCACATCCAGAGGTATCTTTCCATTTCTGCAGCAACATGGACACAGTCTTCTGGTCTCCCACATTGTTCGAAAATTCCGCATATCCGGAAGAATGGTTGCTATGGTTGTAAGAAGGGGCATCGACCTCGTGACTTTCGAAGGAACTCGGCTTTCATCATGAGACATCATAACTACTATGAAAGAAGGAAGATTTTCTAACTCCCAGGACAGAGTTAAAATGGTTTCAATCATGTTTTCTGATTAGCCATTTTTAGTGACTTAGTTTTCTATGGGACAGGGTCACCAAAACCATGCCTAACCCTCCTCTTTTATCCGGGCTTAGGACCAGCTCTATAGGGGGGTCCAGTGGAAATTCTTGTATTCTACTTTCATATATTTATCCACCAGTATCTTGAGCCATCATGAAGTCGAAAACGAAGAGAATGATTCTATAAATAAAATCATTCAAATTTGAAGGATCGACCCACCTCACTTATGAAATCCTTGATACAAAAATACGTACAATTGCTATTAATAAATTCTCGGCTCCATATAGATATTTGGTCTCACAGAATATGCTGTTATTGTGGTAATGAGACATAATAAATGTGGGCTGGGAATGAATTCGTAGTATAATAAAGAGTTACATAAAAATTCATATCAGTGGGAACCAACCAGAGTTTGTGGAGACCGAAATGAAGATACATTCGACAGATGATTGATGTATTGTGAAGTGTTCGATCCAAGCTGAATGACAGTGGCTAGGAATGTGTAGCATGGCTTTCCTAGTGGTGATCTGGTATGGATACTTGGTTCAGCGTCGTCCTTTAGTGTTATGTCCAGTAAAACTGATGAAGAAGGCCTCGATGTATCTGATGGCGACATAAAATACGGAGTAGCAAAAATGGGTAGTGTAGATGGATTTTCTACCCCAGCAATTCACTCCGTTTCCAATAGGTGCAGGTTGGTACTCGACGTCCCAGATTCAAAACCAAAACACAATAATATTTGGAGAAAACGGTCTTTATTCAATATAAAATGGAAATACAGACAGTTACCCAACTATTATTACACCTTCCAAATCCAAATTACCCTGGTGGGTATCCGTTTCTGGAAGAATAAGTGCTTCCAGTCCGAATTGCTACGGTATCAAATCCAAAATGGCTGTAGCCATATTAAATATCAAATTTAAACAACATGTGTACAGTTCAGAAGCAAACATAAAAACTTAAATATAAGTACAAGATATCGAAATAATAACAATATACAATGATAAAATCTCAAAGTGGAATCAAATGGAGTACCAAAATGTCAACAGAAAGAGTCAGTCATATTATAACACAAATATATATTCATGAAGGGATTTTCCAAAAAACAAAACATTCAAAAAAGATTCTACAGGTAGTATTTCTTCAAAAAAAGAACATCTGGAACTTGTAACAACTATCTGCTGGCAAACATCAATATCAGAATTTTTCAAATAAACTGCAATACAGTTCTGTTATGTGGAACTGAAACTTGAACTACGAAAGACATTTTCCAGAAGATGCAAATGTGCCCTTAGTTGTATACGCAAGATACTGCAGATTCGTTGGCCAGACATTACTGCTAACTACCTACTGGTGAAAGAACAAGCCAGATTCCAGCTGAGAAAGAAATTGTAGAACAGTGTTGGAAGTGGATAGGACGAACATTAGGGAAGTCACCCAACTATATCACGAGGCAGGCCCTAACTTGGATCCCTCAAGGTTGAGCGAAAATATGTGAACTAAGGAGTCAATAATAAAGAGAATGATTAGAAATTCGATCGAACTGCAAAGATCGGCCCAAGTAATAGGATGTTGGAGAATGTTGGTGGGGGATGCATAACAGGGGAGGGGGGTTAACAGAGTTTGGTGTGCAAATGAATGTGAGTATCAAGGTACGTAGAAGTCATATATTATCGATTGAAAGCTTTTAGAATCAGTACGGCTTCATATATGGATGCTGTACTTTACTATGATTTATGTTGAATATTTGTATACTAGATGACAGAATGAGAGCTACCTAAATGAATATCAGGGAGTACTCTATTATGACTCAAGTGGTAACTGGCTTGACTTTCGTCAGTGTTTGAACAAAAAATACAATGGCGCCCTCGATTTTCTGGAGATTTCGTGAAACGCTTACATAAATGGTTTGCATGACTAATTCTTTCGCCCAATCCCTGACGAGACTTAAAAAATTTCACGGATTATACAGTAAGAGGGATTACCACCGAGCTACTCGGACCGTTAAGACATGGAATACGGTTTCTATAGACCTGAACGTTTGTTTTAAACTGTTAGTGATTTTTCAAGGGTTATGCATTTGATAAGAGGTAGGAAATAGCTTTAAAGTGTGTACATAGCTTATATGATGGAAGTGCAGATAAAGCCTAATCATTACACTCGTCTGAGGAGTAAGCGAAATCCTATTTGGCATTTGATACGTTTTGGCGTTAAGAGAAAGCCGTAGGGTGTCTACCACGAAACTTAGCCAAAGTAATATTTATTTACATGTAACTACATAGGTTTAAGTACCTCAGTTATCAAACAGGGCTGAGAGTTGCTTTACGTGATAAGGAATATTCTATAAGGTCTCTTTAGAATTCATAACTGTATGTATTCTACAAACTTTATGATTTCCGATCCGCTAAGTTAAAAATTGTCTTTCGAGTAGGAGAGCTTAGCTTCAACACTTCAACAAACATAAACTTTTGAAGATGTGAAGGGTATATTTCGCAGGCCTTTTGTTCCAGTTTATATCCTTAAGAAATCATCTGTGATAGTGTTGTAATTCTACCACTTCGAGCAGTAATTTACTGCAGAAAAGGTTTAGGCAAGTACTTCTATTTCCAAAACTAAGGTTTCGATGTTTACATTACCTACAGTGCTTACTTTCGGTGACTAAAAGAAAAACCACGACAACACACCATCCACGGAAATATCAGAAGGCGACTTTTAAGGAGCGTTCAGAGAGGGATGTACTCTGGCAATTTAAACACCTTCAGTCCTCATTATATGCAGAGACGTGGACCAACTTGGCGACAGGGTGAAGAATCAAGGTCACGTAGATAGACTCCAGCATCATCACCACACACTTCGGGGTAATCGTCTATAAACTACTCATCAAAGAGCAAACACACAGGTTCGTGCACACTATTTCTCCTTAATTGCTGCAACTTGGAATACTCTCCCAGCCGAGGTGACTATAGTCCTTTCAGTGGATGGCTTCAAGAAGGGACTTTGTTAACACTTACTCATATACGGATTATCATTTCTCTCGTGTACCAGCTGGACCTGGTGGATCTCTTGAGACCTAGTGGTTGTTATTATTACTATATCCGCGGATCGTCAACTTAATCTGTGTCATTTATCATCTCTGTTTCCTTGCCCTTTCTTACACTTCAGTTTTCTCACATAATCTTCACTACCAATTAATAAACTAAATTATCCATTTATTTACTTAGTTCTGAAATCTTATTAGCATTTGAACTTTCTCCTTATTATTCTCCATATTGCGACTAACTGGTCTTCGGTCTGGTAATGTGATAGCTGCTGGTATCTAAAAACTGATACCATGAAACGATCATATTCGTCGAAATCACGGGACATACAAACTCACAAACAACTGCCAACTTACTAGCATCAGGCAGTCGAACGGCTAGGTCCTCATCCGTTGGACACTATCAAACACCTGGAACCGTACTAAAAGACTGAGAGTCGAACGCAAAGAAGTCATCTGGTTTACACTAGATCGTAAAATGATAATTATTTTAAGATGTTGAATGTGTTTAAGTGTTCTTCATCAGCTCTTATTGTCGGCGCCAGGTTTGACTGACGGCGCAATTTACAATGCAACTTGTCCATCTACATATTAATGAAACATAAATTCTATGTTAGGAGATCGCCAGCTATCTATTATTAGCCCAGCCACGAGGGATAAAGAAGTGTTCAAATGGGTTTCCTGCAAGGTATGTTGGTTCTTCTGCTAATATCATGATTTTTCTCATCGAAATTCTAACATATATATTTTTCTAGCCCGGAGAAATCAAAGATGAAAATTCCGAGATTGTGGACGTTATTAGTTGGGTAGTGTCAGATATCAGAGAAATGTCCGAAAATCCAATATTGGTTGAGCTCCTAAAAGTAACTGACCGGAGCTGCTATGATGATGTATCTAAACTCTGTGATGTGTACAACAAAACTATAATAGATCTTTGGAACATGGTAAAATTTTTATTTAAATCCGAATTCCGTAGTGGGATGAAGGCAATATAGTTCCTGAATTTTTCAACCGAAAGGCTTCGCGTGACCATGTTCAGTTCATACTTCTTCAATGTTACAACCGAGCTGTATCAGATCCAGAGAAACTTAATCAATATCCTCCTTTTTCGCCTCAGGTGTATGGAGAGACATCCTTTGAACTCATTTCGCAAATGATTGACACAATTACGGTCGCTAGCGACGATATATTTATCGATCTTGGGAGTGGTAAGTTGAAAACTAATTATTTATTTATTCCATCAGGTGTTGGTCAGGTTGTCCTCCAAGTATGTGCCTCTACTGATGCGAAATTCTGTTATGGGATTGAAAAGGCTGAATATCCTGCCAATTGCGCCTCTCGGCTTGACTCAGCTTTCCGCCACTGGATGGGTTTTTACGGGAAATCTTATCGACCCTATACGGTAACTAAATTTTATGCACTGTTTTGCACAAATTTCTCCAAAAAGTCTAACAGTTTTTTCTTGGAAACAACTTATCTCCAATGTCCCTAATAGCTACAGTGCTTCAATATAAACCCAAAGAACTCGGTTTCTGTTTTCTTGATATTAATATGTACAGAATAATATACGTTGATCTCTTACACTTATTTTGTAACTTTTTGTTCGCAGTTAGAACGTGGAGATTTTTTATCAACGGAGTACCAAGAGAAGATAACAAACGCTAGCGTCCTTTTCGCAAACAACTTTGCATTCGGTCCAGAGGTGGATCACCAGCTAAAACAAAGGTTTGCCAATCTTAAAGAAGGTGCTCGAATAATCTCTTCAAAGGCTTTCTGTCCTTTAAATTTTCGGATTACTGATAGGAATCTAGGAGGTACGGTCTGTTTTATACATTCTATGTAATGTTTGAATGATCTTCATTGTATCGTGATAAATATTGCTCTTGAACTGAAGTTTGTAATGTTACACTTTCCAAATGGTCTAGTTGGCTAATTTTGAAATGTTTCTAGTTTAATCAGCTAAGACAAATCGTCTCCTTTCCTAATGTTTTTTCTTGATATTCTCATCAAGATTAATATTGCGAAAAGTACATACCTGTGCGATAGGTGTTTCTTTAGTTGTCCATTTTTACCTATTACAAAGACAATTTTTTTTCCTAGTGAAATATAGTCTTTTAAGATAGTGATGTAATTATAAACATTAAAGTCGGAAGTACCGTTGACGGAAAAACAGCTTTATAGTATATCTGTTTGTGTACTAAGAAGTAGATGTTCCACTGGAAACACTAAATTGATGTCTACTTTCTGTTTGCCGGGACTAGATAGTTTCAAATAGATATCTTCATGTAATTTTTTGATAGCTTCATATAATTTAGTTGGGTGATATTATTATCGTTTTCAATGTATAGATAAAAAGGTCGAAAAATAATGATGCCGAAAAGGGCATGTGATATTTGACAGCTGTAACAGTTGGCATCGATTGTCTAGTGAGACATTTAAACACAAACGCATCGTTCTATCGAAATGCTGCAGATACATGTAGAAATAATATGTAGTTTTACAAGTGTTAAGAGTAGTGCATCATCAGTTTGTGTTCATTGCTAAATTGTAGACTAATTATCTTTAACGTTTGCCAGAGATGGTGGTCTGTTCACTTACTTATCTAGATCACAATTATTTGACGTGGACGTTAGCCAAGTTCGGCTTCTTGTACACTTATCTTTAAGTTACACTTTGGATGTAAAAGTTGTTTGATAATACTACGTGGTTACTCCAAAAAAAAGTGGGTGGAAATTTCTAATATGAAAATATTTGGATAATTTTTTATTATTCCACATCGAAAATTACAAAATATCAGTTTTTGTTTTGTTCTTGTCACTGTGACATACATAATCAAATAGGTGTTGTATTCTACCAATATGAAATATATATTCAGCTATTACTGTTTACACGTATTTTTTACCCTCACTTTTAAAGCATATGATTTAATTTTGGCTTCTCACAAAACACTTATCGTGAGTGATCTTTATAAAAGTGCTTGCTACGTACTTAAGGTTTAGGTTAACGATTTAGTCACGTAGTTTTTATCCATTGACCTGTATTATTTTAGGGTCATTACTTTATACTTTCCAATTATATAGATATTTTAGTACGTAGTATTTAAACTTGTACATGCGTATGGCGTTTCAACTTTTTTCAAATCCGTCTAATTTAACTTATTTTTTTTTTCATATCCATTACTTTTGATTGTATTCAAAATTTAAAACGTGGTCTTTTCATGTTGCACTTATGTTATTTTATGGTATGACATGTATATATGTTTGCTCTATTTTATCAGATATTGGATCAATCATGCGTGTGAGTTGTTTAAATCCAATTCAAGATGCAGTTTCTTGGACTGATAAACCATTCAGCTACTATGTTCATACAATTGATCGTTCACTGGTAAGTGTACACTGGAATAATTTTCTTGTTTTCATACTTCCAAACTTGTCCAAATTGAGGAGTCTCATCAGAGCTGATAGCCTGGTGACTGACGAAATCTCAGCTCGGATAGAGAAAGCTCGATTGGCTATTGCCAACCTGCATCACTTATGGCGTAGGCGTGATATCCGTTTGCTAACGAAAGGACGAGTGTACTGCGCAGCAGTTCGCTCCGTTCTCCAGTATGGTTGTGAAACATGGCCGTTAAGAGTAGAAGATGTTCGTAGGTTACTAGTATTCGATCATAGATGTTTAAGAAGCATTGATCGTATACCGTGGGACAACCGAGTAAGCAATGCTGTCGTTAGGAAACGGGTGCTAGGTAAGGATGGCAGATCAATAGACGCAGTAGTGACACTTCATCAGTTGAGGTGGTTGGGATATGTGTTGCGTATGCCCAACCACCGACTGCCTCGTCGAGCTTTGTTTCGTAGTGTAGGAATAGGTTGGAAGAAAGTTAGAGGCGGTTAACCAAAACATGGCACAAATCCATGAAGTCATTTACAAGTGAACTGAGTAAAGTTGGTAGATGTAGACTACCTGGTTAGGGACCGTGAAACGAAAGTCACCAATGGTTAGAGACCTTGAACGACATGTCTCAAAATCGTTTGCAATGGCGCAAGTGCGTCCATTCTTGGAGCTCTCTCAAATCCTAAACTTCTGGATTCGTCAACACCTCTACCTTTGTGTTTCTAACCTTATCTCACTGAATTATACTTCTTGAATAATATCTTCAAACCCTAGTCTTCTTCAGTACCATTAATACCTCTACTATCTCTATCACTATGGGATTTGATTTGACATTTGCGTCTCTGTGTGCTAATGTGGTATGGCAACATGAACTAATAAGTACATACGTACGTAGTTCTACGTTGCAACTGACTGACCGACTGAAACTGTCCAAATGTTCGTTGTTTTGTTAAAAGTAATTCATGATCCAGTTAGCAATACATCCTACCTAAGTAGGCTCATCCATCAATCTCTGTTTTTTTTCTTTACAGTAAACCATAAACAGGCTTTAGTCTTAAAACAAAACAATAGTAGTCATGTTTATGAAGCAGATTTCATTGTCTATTTGATAGGTTGATTTTTATAACTTTTCTATTTTTAAAATTAATTTGATAATCACGTTAGGCTGAAAAATTCAGTGTTGTGTCACTTTCACAACGAGCAACACGCCTAGCAGCTCTCTAGTCATCATTTGAAAGCTAGTGTAATTTACCATGTTTTCGTTAACAACCCTAGTGTGTACACACCCACCAAAGTTTACATAAACTTGTTCTCATTTACAGTCCGAGTCACTCAGATGCAACGTAAAACTTCGTACGTAAGTGCATCAGTTCATGTTGCCATACCACATCACCACAGAGATATAATTGTCAATTCAAATCCAATAGTAGAAGAGGTAGTAAAGGTATCAGAAGTAATCGGAGAGGTTAGAATTAGAAGATATTATTATTCAAGTAGTATGATTCAGTGGAAAAAGTTTACAGAGTTGAAGAAACCAGAAGATTAGTATTTGAGAGAACACAAAGAATAAATGCACTGGCGCTATTGCGAACGATTTTGAGCCATGTCATTCAAGGTCTCTAACCATCGATTATTATCATCTCGCGGACCCCAACCAGTAGTGAAATTACCGACATGGCTAAGTCCACTTGTCAATGACTTCATGTATTTCTGCCATGTTTTGGTTTGGCCGCCTCTAACTTTCTTCCAACCTACTCCTACAGTACAAAACAAAGCTCGTCGAGGCAGTCGGTGGTTAGGCATCCACAGCACATGTCCCAACCACCTGAACTGATGAAGTTTCATTACTTCATCTATTGATCTGCCATCCTTACCTAACACCAGTTTCCTAAAAACAGCGTTGCTCACTCGGGTGTCCCAGGATATACGAGCAATGCTTCGAAGACATCGATGATCGAAAACCATTAACCTACGAATATCTTCTACTCTCACTGACCATGTTTCACAGCCATAAAGTAGGATAGAGCGAACTACTGCGCAGTACACTCCTCCTTTAGTCAGTCAACGGATATCTCGCCTACGCCATCAGTGAGGCAGGTTGGCAAAAGCTAATGGAGCCTTCTGTATCCGAGCTGACGTTTCGTCAGTCACCAGGCCATCGGCACTGATGAGACTCATTTACAATCGTTTAGTTTTGTATCATTATAAAAAATAAGTTCTATAAACCTTTATTATAATGGAGTTTTCGTTATGATTTTTTCTTACCTTTGATTGATGATGATAATTGTTCTACTTCCGATTTACTTTTAGTTAGAACAGTACTTTGCCCGTTTGAAAAATCCGAAATCTAAAGTATGTCAGTTTTTTTTTTCTTATTTTTAAAAGCCTAACATTTTTGGTTTGCTTGAACTAGTATTGATAAGATTTGCAGAATTCAATACTCTGTAATTGTAGTAAGAACTGAACAATTGTTGAATACTTAGTTCTTTCTGCGAATATGTATGTATATGCAGAGTCTCAGACTATTGTGTTAATCAGCTGTCTTAAACAAATACGTCGAAGAGTTATTTTACACGGAATAATAATCACTTATCTATCCACAAAAGGTGCTGAGTGAAATTTGTACCTTGGCACATTTTTTCGCATAAATGAGTAGTATAGCAACTTCAAAACAGAAAATCAATTAAATTTGTCACATGTTATCTTTTCACCGGGTCAAATGACCTTGTATAAACAAAACTATTTATTTGGCCAAGGCTCTCTTTCTATCGTCCTAAATCATTAATGGAATATAAAATGAATTTCAGTGCATTTGACTAATTAAAAATATACTACGAAACTAATTTAGCGTTTAGAAATTTCTCATTACGCAGGAGTTTAGTTTGATATTATAGCACGGAACCGAGTCATTGCAACATAATATGTTAGTTTGCGTAATTTGGAGTTTCTTTCTGTTGTATGCATGAAGTGACAGGAAATAACTATAAAAATTGTTTCCAAGTTCTGTTGAATAATAAGAGCGATATCATCTCGTATGTATACCATAAAAAGTCAGTGAAAATATCACTAGCCATTGGAATAGTTTGTCATTTTAGTAATTATTTGAAAAGGTAATTTACCAGTTAAGTTGTTTTACTTTTAACCAATAAGTATCAGGATCAAACCTTAGTTCATTTTTGGGTTTGGTTTAACCGGGTAGTATCAGTAGCCTTTATACTTTGAGTGTTGCTTATACCCAAGTACCCGGTAAATAAGCTGATTTATATTACTTAAGTATTTGCTAGTTTATCATGGAATAACGTCTAAGTTCAACACAGAGTATAATTTGTTGACTGTCATGCTGCATAAACAATTATAGTGATGGGAAAATAGTGTTCAAAACACTCGATTTACAATCATTAAGTTGAAGCTTCATACCTACTCTACCTGTTTTTGGTTCAGGGAACCGGGTACTATTTTAATCCTTCATACAAGAAGCATACCTTAAAGCTGGGTGTATAAACCTATAATCAATGAGTAGATAGGAGCACTGTTTTACGTTTGATTCTTCAGTCATTGAAAGTTATGGCCACCTCTATCTTAATAGACTTTGTCTCCAATCCGACTTAAACTCATAATCCTTTACGTTTAACACTATGGTTGCATCTTCATATTAAATTTATAGCTAAGCGTAGTGAATTGAGAACATCACACACCGAATTTACCGTACATAGTCAGTAAACTTTGATCATATTTTCTGTCTGTCTTATTTGATAAACCTAAATTTATGAATATATCTATTTTTCTCTATTTCTTCCCTAAACTCTTACAAATTATAAACAAGGATGGGATGAAAATCATACTGTTCGTCGTGATCGTAAAGGTCGTGTAATCTCTGAGACTACTATGCGAGAAGTAAGTCGCATCAGATGCTTTTTAAATTCTCTCTGTTTTACGTTGTTTGCAACTTACACGTTTGGAAATATTAGGGAGCACATATTGACATATTGAAAATCATTTCAGATATTTTAAGTTGGATAGAAGTCAGTATGACACAGAATTCCACTGTATAACTTGGTCAGATTAGTGTTGGTCTCGGAGACCTGGTTGCGTGACCGCAGAGCCCAAGGGACAACTGCCTGAGGCCGGTCACTCACGGTCTTTTGATGAAGGGTTTTTTGAGTATTAGCTCCGCTCTTGAAAGCCCTTAGTGGGCACCCTTGCCGCCGGAGACGGAAATCCGTGAGGTAGGGTGAGTTGTGACATTTTTAGGGTCGACCTTTTCTAACCCTTCCTTCCTTGTGAGAAGGCAGCATCGCTGCAGATGCTGGTTGTCCGAGGGAAACACCTTACTTCAGTAACACCCCTATGCAGTCAGCAGTACGGCTTCGCCCTTAGACCTTGGGTAGTTGATTTTAGTCTCATCGTTCTCCAATCGACCTGCCTGGCGTGGTAGAACCTTCAGGAACATAAGTTATCGCCAATATAGCTTGACTGGGTCATCACGATAGGCAAGGCGGACCACCATGTCAAGGTATCAGATACGGTTGGGAAAGTTTACATTTTCTGTCAATTTATCATGTTTCAATGTGTTTTCCATGTTTTTGTTTTTCTTTAACCAATCCTTGCTTTATTGTTTACTACAATTTAAATATATATCATTTAAAATTTTACAGGGTTCAGTTCAACTAACAGTAAATACAAATGGTAATGTAAATCATAAATCTAGACAATCATCAACCATTACAAAACATCGTTCAAATAATGCTTTCCGATGTTTACCAAAAAGATCACCATCTTTACCTGAACTAATAACAGTGAATTCTCCTTCAAAGTTAATTTCTATTGAAGGAAGAAAGTTAAGTTTACAGCATTGTTTAACAAAACGTAAAACTATCAACAACAAGGATCTACAACTGGACATAGAATAAAACCATGTCATTCACAACATCATCAATCACAACTTAAACATTCATCATCATTATCTCAGGATATTTTCATATTATCATGTA